CTCATTAGATTTTTAAAGGGATCCATGACACCAAAATTATTAAGATCTGTGAATTAGATACATTTGTTCAGGATGACTCCTCTTGGCTTTAAGCAGTTTCCTATAAAGATTTTGCTATCATTCTATATAAATTGCCGTTAGGCTAAAACTAGTTACCTAATCATTTTAGCTATGATCTGTTGAGTCTACCTATTAAACAGTATAAGGTATTTCATATGGATTTGCATGTATGTTACTGTCTGCTTATTTATTTGCATCTATAAATTTCTTATCAGGAGACTTTCTGTCCTAAATATTGAATAAATTAATATTCAATATTGGACTCAGGGGTTTAAAGAAATCTTGTTTAGACTTTTTAATAGAAAAAAGTCTAGATGTAACATTTTTAATAATGTTTATTTCTGCATGCATGGTAGAATTGTGGGTTGTCTCTTTTTCATTTATAAACTTAAATGCATTCTAAACTTTCTATATTAAACATATATTACTTTTCAAATTAAAATTTTTATATATCATTTCTGGAAAAGTTATGAATTTATAATTGATATTAATATAAGAGTCAATGTCAAAACTTCTAAGTGATTTCTTTTATGTTGATTTAGAGTTTAAAGTTGTCCAGTTAGATCTACCTAGAGAAATAACTGATTTGTGTTAAAATACTTGTTATTAGAAACAACTATATTTTGCCTTTTACCATAGATACTTTGGCTTGCTGCATTCTGAATAAGATGAATGTCTCCTTTTCAAACCAACATAATAACTGTAGAAATTTACTTTTTATAAAATATGGTAAACATTAATGCCCCTCAAAAAATTTACCACTTCTTTTAGAAGGCTTTCATTTGATATTATGGGGCTTACCTTGTAAGTATATGACTGTGGACTCACCAAGATATATTGAAATGTTAATACTCTCTTTTGAAGCAGAGAGGTATCTTTTGTTAAAGGATTAGCGTGGAAAGGGTGTGCTGCTTTCCCTGCCACAGTAATGACTCAGTGAAAGGCATTGGTGATAATGATCTAATGCAGTTTAAAAATGTACACATCAGCCAACAATTTATTGGACCATGTATTAACAGTGAAATATATAGAAGTTGAGAGAATAGTTTACTATAATGAACTCCCATGAACCTACAACTCAGCTTTAGCAGTTATTAACCTGTGGCCAATCTTGCTTTATCTGTACTCCCAAATCCCTGATTGATTTAAAAAAAATTAATATTCGTATTAATCATGCAATAGGCCAGCTGGGAACAGTGGCTTACGCCTGTAATCCCAGCACTTTGGGAGGCTGAGGTGGGCAGATCACTTGAGGTCAGCAGTTCAAGACTAGCCTGGCTAACCTGGCGAAACCCTGTCTCTACTAAAAATACCATAAAATTAGCCAAACATAGGTGTTGTGTGCCTGTAACCCCAGCTACTCAGGAATGGCTTGAACCTGGAAGGTGGAGTTTGCAGTGAGCCGAGATTGTGCCATTGCACTCCAGCCTAGGTGATAGAACAAGACTCTGTCTCAAAAAAAAAAAAAAAAGATGATATTGTAAGAGATTGCATTTATGTTTTTATTTTTATTTGTTAATTGTACTGGAAACACATAACAATTTATTATCTTTACCATTTTAAATTCAGATGTTAAGTATGTTTATATTGTTATGCAACCAATCTTTAGAACTTTTTCATCTTGCAAAATTGAAACTCTATACGCATTAAACAATAGCTCCCCATCTCTGTCCCTGCCACAGCCCTGATATCCACCATTCTGTTTTGTTTCTATAAATTTGACTGCTTTGGGAACCTCATGTCAGTAAATCATGTAGTATTTGTCTTTTTTTGAGTGGCTAAGTTCTTTTAGCATAATGTTTTCAAGGTTCATCTATGTGGTAGCATGTGACAGGATTTCCTTCCTTTTAAAGGCTAAATAATATTCCATTGTATGTATATACCACATTTTGTTTATCTGTTTAACCATCAATGGACATTCAGATTATTTCCATCTCTTGGCTATTGTGAATAATGCTACTATGAATATGGATGTGCAAATATCTCTATGAGACCCTGCTTTCAACTCATTTGGATATATACCCAGAAGTAGGATGACTGGATCATATGGTAGTTCTATTTATAATTTTTTTGAGGAATCACCATATGCGTTCCATCATAGTTGCACTATTTTACAATCCCAACAGTGCACAAGGGTTCTAATTTCTACACATTCTTGCTAACACTTGTTCTTATTCCCTTTTTTGGGGGATGTTAAGCATGCCTAATGAGTGTGAGGTTATATCTCACTGTGGTTTTGATTTGCTTTTCTCTGATGATTAGTGACATTGGACATCTTTTTATATGTTTATTGGCTATTTGTGTATTGTTTTTGTAGAAATCTCTATTCAAGTCCTTGGCCCATTTAAAAATCTTTGTTGTTGTTGAGTCATGGTAATTAAAAAATGTAATTTATGTATTAGCCCCTTCTTTGACATGTGATTTGAAAATATTTCTGTGCATTCTCTAGGTTGTCTTTTTATTCTGTTGATTGTTTCCCTTGCTGCACAGAAGTCTGCTATAGTTTCATTGGTCTATTGGTCTATTTTTGGTTTTGTAGCTGAGCTTTTGGTGTCACATCCAGGAAATCATTGCCAAATCCAATTTATGAAGTTTTCTTCTAGGAGTTTTATAGTTTGGGGTCTTATGTTTAGGTCTTCAATCAATTTTGAGTCATTTTTCACATCTGGTATAAGATAAAGGTTCAACTTTATTCTTTTGCACGTGGATATCCAGTTTTCCCAACACTGTTGAAGAGATTGTTCTTTCTCCATTGAGTGCTCTTGGCACCTTGTTTAAGATCATTTCACTGTTGTGTGGGGGTTTATCTATGGGCTCTTGACTTTATTGCATTGGTTTGTATGTCTGTCTTTATGCCACTGTGACACTGTTTTGATTACTATAGCTTCGTAATATGCTTTGAAATCAGGAAGTGTAAGGCCTCCAACATCCTTCTTCCTTTTCAAGACTGTTTGCCTATTTGAGGTCCCTTGAGATTCCATATACATTTTAAGATTATTTTTCTATTTCTGCAAAAAATGCCATTGGGATTTTGATAGGGATTGCACTGATCTCTGGATTGCCTCGGGTGGTATTGACATCTTAACGGTATTAAATTTTCCAAATCTGTGAACCTGGGATATCTTTAGATTTATTTGTCACTTCTTTAATTTCAAAAATGTTTTGTCATTTTCAGTGTACAATTTTTTTTAACCTATTTGACTAGGCTTATTCCTAAAAATTAATTCTTTTTGATAATATTGTAAATGGAATCATTTTCTTAATTTTGTTTTTGGATTGTTCATTGTTATTGTATAGAAATGCAACAGATTTTTGTGTGCTGATGTTTCTCTCCCAAACCTTTCCTGAATTTATTCTAACAGGTTTTTGTTTCATTTGTGTGTGTGAGTATGTGTGTATGCGTAATCTTTAAAATCTTTTTTTTAAAAATAAGATCATGTCATTTGAGAACAGAGATGATTCAACTTCCTTTCTGGTTTGGATGTCTTTTGTTTGTTTTTCCTGCCTAATTGCCTTCCAATACTATGCTAAATGGAAATGGTGAGAACAGCATCTTTGTCTTCTGCCTGATCTTAGAGGAAAAGCTTTCAGTTTTCCACGGTCGAGTATAATGTTAGCAGTAGGCTTTTCCTATATGGTCTTTATTATACTGAGGCAGTTTCCTTCTAGTCCCAGTTTTTTGAGTATTTTTATCATGAAAGGATGTTGAATCTTGTCAAATGCTTTTTCTATATCAACTTACATGATCATTGTGATTTTTGGTCTTTATTCTGTTAAGGTGGTATATTACGTTGAGTTTCATATCTTGAAATGTCCTTGCATTCCAGGAATAAAGATTATACACTCGATCATGGTGTATAATCTTTTAAATGTGCTATTGGATTAGGTTTGACCCTTCATTGTTTTGATTGTTTTTGAAGCAAATACCAGGTGTCTTATCACTTGATTCATTTGATCTAAAAATATTTTAATATATATTTTTAAAACATGGGGATTTTAAGAAATAATTATAACATCATCACATCAGAAACCTCAGTTTACTGTAATTCTTTAATGCCATGTAATATCCCATCAGTAGTCTTATTTTCTCATTTTATTTTTATAGATATAGTTTGTTTAATCAGGGTACTTAAGTTCTATGACTTATGATTGCTTCATAGGTTTCTGGTCACTTTTAATCTATAGGTTAAATTCTGTCTTTTTAATCTTGCCATATTTTGTTTAAGAAACCATGGTTTACTCTATGATATGTCTTTCTGATCACATCCTGTGATGTAATCTTTGTGATATAGTTTATTATAGTTTCTGTCCCCTGTATTTCTTGTAAATTGTTAGTTCTAGAGGTTTGGTTGGATTTTTATTTTTAAATGTTTTCTTAAACTACTTCTTACATGGTGATAGGATGGCATATGACCATCAGAAGGTGCTTAAGATCTGGTTATCTTCTTGTAATGTTAGTAGCCACTGAGGATCATTGCCTAGATTTATTGAGTTGGGATTGCAAAATGGTGACATGCTATTAGTCTTTTTTTTTTTTTTTGCTGTAATCCTTTTATAAACTTACCTATATTAACTATTTGGTTATCCTGAGGTACAGTTGATGTAGGAAAGGCAGAATAAATGCTTGAACTTTTTTTTTTTTTTTACTTCTTTGTTAATTTTTTAAAGAAGTGTTTTTCTGCTTAGTAATGTTAAAGCAAACTAAATATGGCCTGAGAAGGACTCTGTACTTCTATATTTGAGTTCTTGTGCATGAACCTTAACCTAACTTAATAAGTAGACAAGATTGAAAACCAAATTTAGGAGTATGTGTCCGTAAAAATAGCTCAGTCTTGGCCAATCCCAGCAGCCACATACTTCAACCACTCATACACTGCTGAGTGTTCAAACTGTATTCAAATAAGGCAAATGCCAACCTGTAACCAATGCAGCTGTTTCTGTACCTCACTTCCGATTTCTATACATCATTTCCCTTTTTAATCTATAAATTTGTTCTGACCACGAGGCATCCCTGGAATCTCACGAAATCTGCTGTGATTCTGGGGACTGCCTGATTTCTGAATTGTTCATTGTTCATTTAAACTCCTTTAAATTTAATTTAGCTGAAGTTTTTCTTTTAACAGTAACTCTGACCTGGAGCAGGACCCCTTGCGACTATCGCCAGTGCCTACAATTTTGGGGCATAACCATCTGCCGTGCCTCGTACTAAGATCATTCACATCTATTAGCTATTTGATTTTACATAGATAGTTTCTCTGTTGTTATCTTTGCTTTGTAGTTGAGGGCACTGATGCCTAGAAAGTGTAAATAAATTGTGCCACTGGTGTACAGCAGGTAGGTATCAGAGCTGGACTCTGAACCCAGGTTTGCCTGACTTTTGAGTCAGGCAAAATTCTGAAGAACAAGTGTTTTAAAAACTAAAGTGCTTTTTGAAGAGTCCAGTGGGATTTGTAGACTGGTAAAGAAAGCTTGAGGTGTGGGATGTGCAGGAGTAAGTGTGAAGAAGAATCTTTTATTGACAACGAGCAATGGAATCATTTGCTCAGTTGCAATCAACTGAGCCACACTCACGGGCTAACTGCCATCATCTCAGGTCAATAGATATTTGTTGTCTGAATGTGGATAGTTTACTGGGAAACAATGTTGCTGGTAAATGGGTGTTACAGATTTAGCCTATTTAACAATTTAGTCAAAGAGGAAAGGATTCATGAAGCAGATATGGATTCTGGTCCTTAAGGTGGGTAAGAATCTAGTGACTACCAAATTACTTACTGAAAAATTAGTTTTATAGTTTCAAACCAGACACAGAAGAAACCTTAGATATAGTCAAATTAGAATGGAGCTGGGGAGACAGACAGTAAACTAATGAACAGGTAAACATCTGATATAGTGGCAGATACTAATGAGCTCCTTGCAGATAAATAAAACAGGGCACAAGGATAAAGAGTGGTGGGATAGAGTGGGACATGGGCTGTTTAGATGCCAAGGTCTGAGAAGCCCCCTCTGAGGAAGTGACATTGGAGAAGAACCTGAAAGTAGGGGAAGAAGAACTTTATAGGCAAAGGGGACAGCAAAGGGGTGGGAATTTGCTTAGGGCTCTTGGGAAATAGCTATGAAGGATGCTGTGAGAGCAGGATAGGAGATTAAGCCCCAGAGGCTGGGGAGGTGGCAGGCAGCTCAGGACATCCATAACACTAGGAGACACAAATCCTATCTCCTGAGGATGGGCAGCTCATTATATGGCTTTAGTTACTTGTTGCTGATTTCCCCCTTCCTTTGCCTTTGCTGTCCTATTTCTAGAAAGAATGTGCTTGCTTTGTTACTCAAAGGACAGGGCCTGAGTTCCATCACAGATTTCCTCTGAAGGAGGGTGAAATAGACTGGGCAGAGTCTCTGGGTTTAGCCAAATGAATCCATTGTGGTATCTTGTGGTTTGGGGGGAAAAATCATTGCTTCAGAAACAAGATATGGTCTATGACTCTTATATATTTTATAATTAGAATATGGGCCTAATGTTTTAAAGTTAAATTGTAGGAAACGCATTTCTTGTGGAAGTTCATGGCAGAATTTTTAATGGGCAGCATGATCTATAATTTAGCAGCTACCTCCTTTCTATAAACACTTGTGTTAGAATGTTTTGCATTCCCATGAAACAATTTTCCCAAATGTGTCTTTTTGGAGGAAGTGTAAATTATTCTCATGCTATTGTGGTAATGAGAACATGGTAAAAAAATAAATAAAATAAAAACAAAAACCCTGAGCTTGCACTGGTCTTGGTAATATAAGAAATGTTGATACAAGTATGTGATCATAGAGAATACAGAGAATTTATCTGCTTTGTCCCCAAATGGAGATTTTTTTTTTAAATAGTCTAGCTCATTGTCTTATGTGTATTTGCCTCTTTTAGTGTTTAATCAGTTTTTTTTAAATCCAATGAATCCAGGTAATTTGACTTTCCACCAATAAAATATTAACTTGTCATATTAGGCAGGCGCTAAACTTGGAAATTAAAAGTAATGAGTTAAATTTAAAATTTGTTGAAAAGTATTCATCATGATGTATTCTATTTAATGTTTTGGCAGTGCCTCTGGCTGTTCTCATTTAACATGCTAGGAGACAGACTGGCAGCAGTTGTAAGCTGAAACCTGGTTGTATGCAGAATGAGACTGATAGGGGTACAAAATAAAATGGAGAAAATTCGAAAGTGTTACTGTGTGTGTTTCCTTAAAGTGTGACACGTTTGCTTAAAATAGAATTTTATATTCTGTTTGTCAAGGCTATTATAACTTCATGTTAGATGATCCTAAGACTGAAATTGGTTTTACATTTTGTTTTGTGGAATAACCAAATTTGTCTCTTAAAATGTTGTCATTATGTCACACAATTTGTTTTGATATAATAAGCATATTTTACAATATGTTTGAGTCATTTTCCCTAGTAGACCTGAAATTTATTACTCAGAGGAAAAGCATGCATTTACAATATATTCTTAGCTGCTCCTTTCTATCATTCAGCTGTCAAGTCCTATGGAATCTAAAATAAAACTCAACCAATGGGAGACAGCCTCCACACTGTTTACTGGACGATTGGGATGTGGACAGTTTTATCATGCACTGCAGCGTCTGTGTTGCAGTGTTGAGGCAGCAGGATGCAGAGTGCTGTTCCAGTTTTCCAGAGGGGTCCCAGAACGGGACAACTTTGAAAGCTTCTAAAGCATAAGAAATAGACAGAGTTACTGTACCTGACTTGGGGCTGCTCTTAATCAAGTGCTGCGTTGCAAGGAAGATAATATTCGAGCGTTATGAAGGCGGAGAAGGATCCTGAAGAAGAAGAAAATATCGTTAGAGATCCAAGCTAAGTGTAGCACAGCATGTGAGGGACTGAGTCACTTCAGGAGTTTGTTTGAGGGTTTTCTTTGTTAGCAACAGAGATTTGTAACTTAATGCAAAGTGGTTTGCCGTTAGCAACAAGAAACTAAATCCTGTCTATGATGAACTGTTGGTTTTCTTGTGCTCCTAAGAACAGAGTAGGTATCCCAGTAGTCTAGTTTAACAAAAGATTATTGGTTAAGCTCTCAGAACTGTGTTCTTTGAAAGTGCACTACTGTTTTATTAATTTGGTTTGTTTTATTATTTTCTTTCTGATTTAGTTGATTAGTAGATTGGGGTTAGTAATAGAAAACAAAAGTTCTTCTTTCTTTCTCTGGGTTTAAAAAGCATATGATAAAATCTTAATAATTGTAGTGTTACTGTTACGTGACAGTAAACCAGAGCTGAAAATGGTGCTTGATATGAAAATCATATGCTAATGTGAGATTTTAATCACATTTAATTCTCTTTAAAGAAAGCCTTACATTTGGATTTTTACAACTTTTTGGTGATTTAAATAGCTCTTTTCTCCACCAGTAAGATTACTTGGAAATAAACTTGAGATTGTTTTAATTGTAAGGCTAGACTAATCAATGTAGAGCAAGCATTTGTGTGTTAAACATGATTTAATTTTTTAGGCATTTAAAAACACAATGTCTTGTAAGCTTATGTCCATTACCATTCCCCAAATTAGAGTCAGTAAACTGTTTTGTTTCTGTTTTAAAGCTTAAGAAAGGTGATGCGTAAAATGTAGTTTAGACTTGGAGCCCGTAGGTCGAGTTATTTTATACTTGTAGTTGGCACTTTAAACTTTGAAGCCTGGAGGAAGTGGGTTCATCACCAAATTTAACTAATTTAGAGACAATTCTAAAATCTGTATGGGTGCTTGAACCAGGTTCCATTAAAATATTAAATTTCAGCAGTGAGTTAAAATTTTAATGTATTTTTCTTTTTTCATATTTAGTTTTCATATTCATTTTCTACATCAAGTATTTAATTTTACATTGCTTAAGAAAATTGGTGATGGTGATTTTTTTTAACTTTATGTTTATAGGGAATAGTAAATATAAAATTATCATATTGATCAAACATTTAGAGGATATTCAGGTGATTTGAGTTTTTTTTCTCAAGAGATTTGTTAGGGTATTTGTGGCCATGTGATTTATTTTGTCAGTTAAGTGAAAAATGCCATGTCTTTTTTTGTTGTTGTTCTAGAAATAATAGTGGATTTAGCATAGAATTTACTAGTAAATTGGTATATTTTAAAAGGCTAAAATATCACCTGTTTAAGTAAGATGTGTTTTAGTTCTGTGTTTCAACATTTCTGCTTGAGAAAGGATCTAAGTTTTTGACTTCAGAATGCCTTGAATGTATTTTCTCTGATCAAAGTTAAATATAACCCTGATACGATTAAAATGTACATTATATGAGACACCCTCCGTAAAAACCCCACCTTTAATCTTCTAAATACACATACACAGAATTTTTATTAAAGTTAAAAATCCATTTTTTTTTTTACAAAATAATACATGTGGAATGTAAAAAGGGAGAAAATGAAAGTAACCTGTAATCTTAATATTTTCAGATTTTAAACGGTTAATACTTTAGAGTCTGTCATTTTTAGTTTTTTCTCTGTAAAAGTTTCATTTGATTCTAATATATAAACATAATGAATTGCTTTCTCTGTAGAATGTGTGTGTGTGAATATATAATTTGCCTCCATAAATATATTTCCAACAGTACTTTTTAAATAAATGTGTATGGGGGTTGGGGGGAGTAGTTTCTTAAAATGTATATAGAATTCCACTGCATCTAAGAGTCCTAGGAAATGTGTAACCAGAGCCAAATCTGAAAGTGTGATTTGAAATCCGAAAGGGTATGGGAAAAGCACACTGATTTTAGAACTACTGAAGTCATGGTTGGGCTTGAACACTTAAGACATTTACTGTTCCTGGGGCCTTGGCTTTTCTTACCTGCTGAATGGAGATGATAATTTTAGTTTACTAGGGTTTATTGGGACTTTAGTGCCTGGTACAGGGTAGGTGTTCGGTAGTTATTTATTTCTTTTTTTGCCCCAAAGGCATAGAGAACTGGGCAGAGAACAAAAGAAACATGCTTTCCCTCAAAAGTATAATTTTAAATGTTTCTTGTATATCGTGTGTTTTGGGAAGATTTTATAACTCTGCTCTCCTAATGAAGTTAGCACAGAAGGGAGAAGGAAATTTGGAATGCAATTGGAAAATAAGTGATGTATTATGCAGCACTACTTTCCCTTCTCTTTTCTTTCCTTCTTTGGAAAACCTTAAGTAATGTAGTATGCCATATTTACTTTTTTTTTTTCCTTTTTGTAGCATGCAACAGATTGGAATAAATATGATGACCGATTGATGAAAGCAGCAGAAAGGGGGGATGTAGAAAAAGTGTCCTCAATCCTTGCTAAAAAGGGTGTCAATCCAGGCAAACTAGATGTGGAAGGCAGATCTGTGTAAGTATTATTGGTGATAAAAGCATGTCTGAAGGGAATTTGGATAGTCTTGGGATACAAATGAAACTTGTGAATTGTGGTTATCAATTAAGAAATTCTTATTAAGAATTAAGAAATTATTACTTATTAAGAAATTCTGCTAAAACCTGCACTATAAAATCTTTTAAACAAACTAATAATTGTTCTCAATTTAAAAGTTTCCAGTCTAGAGAAAGAACACTAGAATACTATCCAGTGGTTTAGAATTGTTTAAGCCCTGTGACAAACCACAGCCTGAGGTTATTTGGTACATTTTCATTATAAGCTTTTTTATATTCCTTATCATATTTGCTCTTTGAAGCAGCCTGATAAAAGAAGTGGGAAAAAGTTTATGGAGGTTAAATAATTTGGTCTCATTTCAGGTAAAGTCACAGAGCTGGAAAGTGAACCCAAGCTTTCTGTCTTTGAAGAGTTCTGTAAATCATACTATCTTTTCTCCCAACCCTCAGTCCATTTTTATACTTGGATAATTTGTTTAAATGAGAATGCTTAGAGCAGAAAGGAGGCAGAATAACTAGTGTGGTTTAGGGAGATACAGGTAATAATCTTGCCCTTTTGTTTTGTGTTACTGAGGAGAACAGCTGGTTGTATATATGCTCATGGACCATATGCCTGTCTTCTCCCCCTCCCTGTCCCAAATCTTCATTATTTCCCTTCTCGTTGTGGATGGGGAGCAGTTGGGTTAAAGGGTAGATCTAAGGTCTGTTACAACTCTCTATACTTACAGCATTTAAAACCTTATCTGGGAACTCTTCCAAAGTTAGAGGTGAAAAGTCTCATTTCTTAAAATTCTTCTCAGTCTTGTACTTGCATGAGTTTATTCAGAATATTATAACTGGAACCAGATACTAAATATAGAAATGAATATGAGGAAGTGAATAGTTAATGTGTGATGTGGGTCACTACCTTGGAATGCTTAGATATTAAATACAGTAAAGATAACAAAACAGGACTATAAATTACGTAGTTTTTAAGAGCAATGAAGTTTGAAAAGTTTCAAGTTCATAATGTTTCACTTTTATCAAGCAGCGTTTTGATAGCTATGGAAACGCTGGTTATTTTGAAACTTGCCCGTTTTTACTGAATTTTAAGCTAATTTATAGGGCTCATCGTGTAAATTGTGAAAATTTAATATCCAAAAGTGACATTGCTTTCATGTTTCTTTTTTCTCAAATGTTAATATGTTAAAAGGTGAAGGGAATCTTCTTTGGGATAAAACTTTTCAGTGAAACCTACATCACTGAAATCAGTTCTGCCCTTCTTACTTTGAATGTTTTGAGTGAATGGTGGCCCGAGTTTTCTTTGGAGTTTTTGATATAAGGTCCAATTTTGAGTGACATTAAATAGATATAATGGTGTAATTTGATGAACTATGAACTTTGTGAAATATTTGAGGAGTGTTAGTCTTGAGGTTTTCATTGTAGAGACTGGAATTCTTTCTAGGATTCATAAAATATTTCTCTTTTTTTACTCACACATACACTTTATTCTTAAAGCATATTGTATTTAGTCAAGTATGGGACATGTTACAAATATATTTTCTTTATAATTTGCAATTATAAAAACAATTTGTTTCAAATGATTATTTTTAATTTTGAAATTCATTTATAAATTTAAGACAAAAGAATATGTGCTTCTTGAGGTCAATTTGATTTCAAAAATGAAATAGAAGCCTATCCATAGTTACTGCAAGGATCTGCTTTCTTCCTGTTCACCTCTCTCCTAAGGTACAGTCCTTCGAGGGCCAACCCAAGATGGGGAAGATTCACCAAAGATTCTCTTGCTACTTGGAGAGCAGTGGACTCCAGTTCGTATCTCCCCATTTCCTCAGGGCTGTCACACTGCTGTTCAGCCTCCTGTTTATCTGGAATCAGCAAATGTTCCCCGGGAAAAAGTGGCCTCAAATACTAAGCTCAATTCTCTGGGCCTTCGTCCTACCCTGCATCCTGGCCCAGTAATTTTTTGCTATTTTGTTAGCTCACTGACACCGTTAAGCATAAGTCTCATATTTTGTGCAGTTTTTCTAGTTGCCCTCAGTAGTAACGTTTGTACAAGTTACATATATCTCCTGTTACGGAAGCAGAAGTCCATGTCTTGTTTTTTAAAAAAGAAAACATAGAGTTGCTTTTTAAATTGCAAAACAGTATTTTTTATAAAGCAATTTTTCAAATTTCCTATACAATTCTTTGCATATGTTTTAATGATTGATATATCTTCTTTCCAAAACACATCTATTTATAGCACATCAGCATTAATAATGCATTGTAGATTTGTTGTGATTTCTGCCCTATTGTACATCATCATTATGTTGATCTCTTTTGAAGAAAGAGGTCTTCCAAATTTTGTGAGCTAAGAAATGAAAACAAGCAAACAACAAAAACAATGATATCTCTAAGATTGCTGGGAGACTACCTTTGCTTAAAGGAAATTAGCATTCTTCAAAAGGTTCTAATGGTACATTGCATAATATAATTCCCAGTTTCAGTGTGACAGAGAGATTATAAGATGGAGATACTCAGCCTTATAGCAATTTAATTATTCTAGTAGAAGGAGAACTTACCTGACTCTTAAGAACACAATATTCCTTTTACCAGAAACATCTTTCTAATTCAGATTGTACACAAGCCTGCTTTACTTGGTAGTGCTTGGTCTATTTGCATTTATATCTGTTATAACACTAATGGCATCGCAAGACTGAGTCTTGTAATATCTGGAAATTTGCAAGCTATCTTGAGATTTTGTCTCCAAGCATGCAGTTATTCAAATATTTGAGGATTTGCCATTTGTCTGGCACTGTTATTGTTTCTGGGGATGTAATAGGAAGCAAAACCAGAGAAAAATCCCTGCTTTGGTTGAGTTTATAGTTGATAGACCATACAGAAAGTTGGTAATGAATTTGTCTATTGTGTTACAAAATATTAAGTCCTGTATAGAATAATAAAGGCAGAGATTGGGGGAACTGGGAATACTGAGGTTTGGGTGAATGGGGAAATGTGAACAATTTTAATGATGTGGTCAGGGAAGACCTCTGCTGAGAGTGTGCTACAAGATTGTACCTGTATCCTGGAACCTCCTGAGCACTTTCACATCCTTCGTTTCCTGGCATCTTCAGAATGATTATTGCACTTGTTTAAGGCCTCAGTTCTCTTTCCACCTGAGTTCAACATCCTTTGCCAACAACTATTGTATTTACCAGTTTGGATTTGGTAGAGTGCTATTCAGTGTCAGTGGCAGTTCTGTTTTTGGTTTTTTTTTTTTTAACTCAGCATAATTCATAGGTTCACAGAATGTCAGTTCTCCTTACACGCAAAATATCTCTGTAAATGTTTGTTGATTAATAAAATATTAGATGATCAAATAAATAATGAAATACTGTTAATTAGAATTTTGAATACTTGATGGCTTAAAGTTAGGTTTTTAACTTTAACTTGCCTTATTAGGAAACTTATTCAATTTTTCCTGTTCATGTCCCCAGGCCTTTGAACAAAAGGAAGAATTAGTTGATAGTTGGTGATTAGTTGACACCGTTTGGGAAGAAGGCGCTGGTTCTTTTCTGATTTTAAGGGTAGTTTAGCTTGTTTTGAAAGCTTTTCTAAGTCAGGTTTAGTTTGATAATTCTAAAGAGAAGAGGTAAGTGTTTGGATCTCTCTTTGGCCTCAGCATTCTGTTAAACTAAATAAATAATGAAACTATGTGAAACTACATAAAATAATCTGATAGAAATTTTTCAGTGCATTTATTAAGCTCCAAGCACCAGTACTTTTGCTATTAAAATGATAAACTTTAGAGTTAATGGTATTATAGTATAAACTTACTCTTATTAAGGCTTTTGCACATAACCATAGTTCATTGATTCTAAGCAGGTATTTTTAGAAAGTATTGGCCCCTTATTAAATGAGATAGGTGTTCTAATGTTTAAAATGTGTGTGTGTGTGTGTGTGTGTGTATGTTAAATAAGGGAGGTGACATTAATGTAACATTTAAAGTGACCTTTGGTAGCTTCCTTAGCATAACAAATATTTTGTTTTTGTTTAGCTTCCATGTTGTGGCCTCAAAGGGGAATCTTGAGTGTTTGAATGCCATCCTTATACATGGAGTTGATATTACAACCAGTGACACTGCAGGTATGTTTGCCTCTGTCGTTAATTGCAAAACATAAACCAAATACAAACATTGTCCACTGCTAATATTTTTACCCAGCCCTAAATGTGATTTAAAAAGAGATGTCCTCAATTTTCTGTTTTTAAATACCCGAGAAAGAGTTTACTTCTGAGGTATTGTGGGAGTGGTCAAGTATAGGGAATTTAGGAGAAAGGATTGCTTTACTGACGAGCAGTTGGAGACCTGAATTCTAGTGCAAGTCCTAGTAGTGTTACAGGATCCTAAAATCTCAGATTTTGAAGAACCATTAGGGGCCATTTAGTTTATATTCATACACTATTGATTAATGAATCATTTCTATTGTGAGGTCATTTGGCATTTGGTTGGACGTTTCTTGTGGTGGAGAACCAACTGCCTCATAACAACATTATCATCAATGACGACAATAATAACAAGAGTAGCTGACAGGTGTATAACATTTAATAGCTATTCTTCTAAGCGCTTTGCCTACTCATTTTATCCCCACATCAACCCAGTGAGATTCTGAGGCCCTGAGCTGTTAAGTAACTCGACCCAAGGCCCTTCAGTAGCTAATTCGAAGTCAGAATCTGTATTCTTAACCATTATGCCTCATAAGGAAGTCATTCTGTACCTAGCTATATTTATAAAAAATCATTTTTAATAGAGAATCAAAATATTTTTCTCACTCAGTTTTCTGCTTACACTTATTCTCAGTTTGTCTGTCCTTTAAAATCTTTCAACAGAAGTTTGTACATCAAAGGTAGACCTTTGAGTATTTGAATATAGCTATCTCTTTTGTTCCATGAGAGTGCTAGTTTTCTATCTATCAGTATAAACATTCTCACTTATCTGGGACTGTTGACAACTTACTTCTTTGTAGTTCTACTTTGTTTTTCTATTAAATATAGGAGGTGACCCAGAACTGAAAGGTTTTTGTTTGTTTTCATAATTTTTTATTCTGTGATTCCATGAATGGGCAAATTTATGTTACTATGCTTTAGATCTGATGCTTCCTTGATTTTTTGCTGCCATATCTCAAGTGGATTTGGTATTTTCTTAGCCCTGACCCGACATTTTTCTGTGACGTAACTTTCTGTAGCATTTTATCGAACACCGGGTCTGTTGCCACTGTGCCTAACCCTACCATCTCCACTTCATGCTCTTACTTTACATGTACATAAGTTATTTTAGTCACTTTTCACAATGTGGAATGTTTGTAGGACACTTGTCTCTAAACAGGAGCAAATTGAAATTTGAAATGATCACATCTGATTGACTTGTAATTAGAGGATGTTTGGGTGTGGATGAATATATTGTGCTTGCACCTATTGAAAGACCTTAAAGACCTGGACTCAGTATATTTTGTTTTGCAGCCTGGTTAGTCGGCTACACGGAAGTGACCAGAGAGTTGAAAGCCAATTTATTTATCCATCCAAGATGAATAAAACATAAATTACTTTTCTAGCAAAAAGGTCTACTTATAAAATCAAATTATGGTGTTTTTGTTTTTGTTTTTTTCTGACAGGGTTTAGCTCTGTCACTTAGGCTAGACTGTGGTGGCATGATCATGGCTACTGTAGCCTTGAACTCCTGTGCTCAAGTGATCCTCTGGCCTCAGCCTCCTGAGTAGCCGGGACTATAGGCATGCTCCACTACACCTGATTAATTTTTGTATATTTTGTGGAGATGGGATTTCACTATGTTGCCCGGGCTGGTCTCAAACTCCCAGGCTAAAGCAATCCACCTGCCAAGGCCTCTCAAAGTGCTGGGATTACAGATGTGAGCCACTGTGTCCGGCCCCCAAATTATATTTTCATAAGTTTGTGGCCAGGTGTGGTGTCTCATGCCTGTAATCTTAGCACTTTGGGAGGCCAAAGCAGCAGGATTCCTTGAGGCCAGGGATTCAAGACCTGCCCGGGCAATACAGTGAGACCCTGTCTCTGCACAAAATAAAAGTGAGCTGTGGATGGTGGCACGAGCCTATAGTCTTAGCTGCTCTGGAGGCTGAGCTGTGAGGATCGTTTGAGCCCAGGCATTTGAGGCTGCACTGAGCTGTGAGGCTGCACTCTAGCCTGCACGACAGAGTGAAACCTTGTCTCTGAAAAATAAACTGAAAAGCAGTTTGTGAGATTAGAGGGAAATTAAGAGCATTGCATGTTAGAAGTTGGAATAGTCTGGTGAAATCCTTGTATCTTTCACCATCCAAGAGGTGTTTGTATAAAGAAATATAACTAGCAAAAATAGTGTTTGGAGGCAGGAAGTTAGTTCTCTAAAAGTTACCTTTTCTGGCATTCAGAATTAACCTTTCAGATTATCTGGTAACGTCTACCCCTTTTGGCATTTCTTTTAAAATCCACATTTTATACACATTATATTTGAACAAGTTGACTGGTTTTCAGAGATACAATTTCATAATAAATTGAATTTTAGCTGAAGCATGAAAATCAGTTGAGGAATACCCTTGCTATGACTTACACTTTTAACCTTCTCAGTTTTCAGTGTCCACACTGCCTATTTGGAAATGTTACATGAAATCTCAGTATTTATTTCTCTCTCTTCTTTCCTCATCGTCTTTCTCTCCCTTCCCTTTTCTCTGTGCCAGTGTAATTACCTACTGTGTTTTAGGTACTGTTGTACATGCTGCGTATATAGTGGTGAATACAACAAAGTTCCTGCTTGTTACAGATTTGTATAATTAATTTTTCTTTCTACCTTCATTGTTTTGGTTATGTATATTATCTCTTCTTAAAATATCCAACTAGATGAAACATCTTTGGAAACTTAAAATATACTTACAGATTAAATATCTTGTCAACTAGTTTTGGAAGAAGCTAATTACATTTCTTTTAAAATCCTCAATTCACATATGAAGAAGATAATCCTTCATATGTATTTTAAATTATTTATTTTATAGGGAGAAATGCTCTTCACCTGGCTGCTAAGTATGGACATGCGTTGTGTCTGCAAAAACTTCTACAGGTAGTGGAAGTGGTTAATACTTCAGCTTTATTATTTTGACTACAAACCATAGATGAGTTTTTAATGTGTTTTTGGAATTTGAGATCAAAGAGGATAGTAAACTAACTTTGAGTATGAGCTTACATATTTTTTTCCATCATTTGTGAAGGAATGTGGACAATAAAGAGCAGAAACTCTGAGGGAAGCGAATTGCATAACTCAGTGTATTAAAAATAAATAACAAAGGCTTGACCTTCCTGTTGACATTAGCTGAAGGTTGGAATTTTTTGTTGTCTAGACTATCATGTAAGATAAAGTCATACAACATAGGATCTATATATTTCTATACAAACATAGATAATTTATACTACATAATATTGTTATATTTTTAATCAGGTAACCACAAAATTCTAACTAGTTGGCTAATTAAAGTTTCCATCAAAGATTTTAGTCATACACTTTTATAAATATATTTGCCACGAAGTTTCATGGCAAAACTCACTTGCTTTTCTGATTAAGTAGCTCAAGTTTTAATTCTTGGTGGAAAAAAAAACCCAAACAATACATATTTTCCTGTATTTCATGCCATTCATTATAATGTACCATATGTTTCCTGTTTGGTTAAACATTGTTAATTTAGTTATATAATGTTACTGTATTTGTTCCATGTCAAAATATTTAATGGATTGTCTGATAGTCTTTAGCTTCTTTGATAAGTGGAATGTTTTAAGATTAAATAACAGCTGTTCATCTGAGATTGGATATCTAATTTTAAAATGAAACTTTCCTAGGTTACTAAGTTTTCTATATTTTAACAGTACAACTGTCCCACTGAACATGCAGACTTGCAGGGAAGAACTGCACTTCACGATGCAGGTAAGCAGAGGTCTCCCTTGAATACAAATATTTGTTAAAATGTCTAGTCATTAGAATTAATTTCAGGATTTTAACACATAGTTATTTTTATAATTCATGGAGAAACAAAGAATATTAAAAAGCTGAATGCACAAATTTGAAATTTATCAGGTTATACAGCTTAAAAAGATTCAGTCAATATTTACAGGCCAGTTTGCTAGGTACTAAAGGTACAAAGGTAGATAAACTATAACCTTGCAAGGAGCTCCAAGCTGTGTGTGTGTGTGTGTGTGTGTGTGTGTGTGTGTGTGTGTGTGTGAGAGAGAGAGAGAGAGAGAGAGAGAGAGAGAGAGAGAATGAGAAACTGTGTGTGTATGTGTGTGTCTGTGTTTCATATCTTTGGGAATTGGAGAAATGGGAAGAAGACTTTCCTTAAACAAGGTTTAAACCTCTTTTTTCTCATTTGTAAAATGAAGTTAATATTACTACTGCAATAAGTAGTATTAATAAGTATAATCAAATCATAAGTAGTGCCTGGCACATAATTTCTTAATTAATAGTGGTGGTAGTTGTTTTCTTTTAGAGATGTCAGTGCTGAATTTCATATCACTGTGAATGTGCTATATCTTAAAAGAGATTTATACTGATAATTTTTAGAGATTTTATTATACTTGTGTGTCTGAATTTATTTGCATTATTCTTAAGGTATCTTAAAGAATGCACTTTGAAAAAAGTGATATATTTAGGTATTTTTAGAATGTAAGATATCCTTACCTCTTGCTAAGTCTGATATTCCTACATTAAACTCTAAGGTCAAAGGAAAAAAAGTCTACCTTTTCATGTATATGGAATATATGCAGTAGATTAAGGTGGTCTGCATTAAAGACATACTATACTTCAAATTTCCTTCAAATTTTTCTACCTTAATTAAAAACATTTTTGCTTTTTGTATTTTATGTGCTTTTATGATAATTCCTCAGACAATGCATTTTTTTAATATAGAATGGTATTACTGTATTTGCAAAGCATTTTTTCATTATCATTTGAGCCTCACAATGACCCCTGTGAGTTACCTGTATATTTTATTCTCCCCGCTGTTAAAACTGGCACAACTTGACCAATTGAAAACTTAGTATTTGTTAGTTAGATGCATTAGCTAGGGTGGAAACTAAGTTGCTATAACAAAAGAACTCCAATGTCAGCTGCTTATTTAAAAAATTGTTGAGTGATATATGTTGACAGGTGACTCAGTGCCATTTTTAAACTGTATTCTTTCTATCTTGTTTCTCCACCTACCTCTGGGTATCTTCGTTAACTACAAGGTTGAAGCAGAGTTGTGGTCATAGCAGTATTCTAGCTAGTAGGAAGGAGAAGGAGAGAGCGTAGAGGAATACATCCCCAAAGTCTAGAGCTCAGACTTAGAAGTAGTAGATTATTCTCCATTCATATTCTACTGATAGGAGCAAAATCAGTTGGCTATATTTATTTGCAGGGGAGGCTCAGAAAAATAGATACTCACTAGGTGACTAGTCATATTCTACCTACTGTATAGTAAGAGAAGAGGAGAACAAATTTTGCTAAAATATTTCATTTTCTACTACAATTCAACTCTCTGGCCTTCCAAATATCTCCAAAGCTCCTACTTCCCACACACTCCCAAAGGAGAGGATATGACATATAAAGCACCTCATTTACTTCATCTAGCTCAAATTCTAGGATTTCTAGGTGATATGCAATTTTCTCTTTGGCTCTTCATGGTCTAGTAATTTGCAAACTCTCAAATTCATGATGGTTAACATTTTAAAATTCTCATTTATAATTGGACCAAAAGGGTTGCTAATTTTACAGTTCCTGAATTAATGTGTTCAGGTTCAGTTTATCTTTTTCTTAAGGCTGATTATACATTTTATATAAAAGATTTGCTGGATTAGAGGTGAGAAGTGAAAATTTCCTTGATTTTCTTATGTTTGGTTTAATTCTACTATTTCACCAAGAAAAAAAAGAATGCTTACTTCATCAGCACTTTTTGTGCTTATAATTTATGTCAACTCATAAGACTTAAAAAATTCATGGGGATTGTAAACATAATCCTATTTTATGAATTTAACAATAATTTTTCCTAATATAAATATGAACCATAGTGTTAGTCAAAGAAGCATAATGTGATTTTATAATTATTAGCAAAAGACCTTACTTTGCATAACTAAAGTTGGACATTGCAATCTCTGCTTTTATGAGAAATATGAGTTGTATGATTCATACTTTACTTACTGTGACTGTTCTATAAAAAATGGATATGATCTTTAAAAAAACTGAGCCAACACTTCAAGGATCAAGTCAGTTATAGCCATGTTTAAAAATATACTGTAAGTACGAAATTTAACTTTGATTTTTATTATCTGTGCTTATCCTTAGAATAGTAGTGTATTCTTGTCTTCTGCAAGGTTGACATTATTCCTTGGTCCTAATAAATTATAGACAATTTATAATATGATCTTGTCTAATCCATTTTCAGATGAAAAATTGATGTGTTTAATGCTAAACTAAGAGTGAAGGATGTGAATCTTGGTAGTTTAGGAACTGAAGAACTTATTTACCTAGAATAACACCATGTGTCTTACCAGCAGATGTTCACCATTTATCATTTTCCTTTGTTCCTTAAAGCAATGGCAGATTGTCCTTCTAGCATACAGCTGCTTTGTGACCATGGGGCCTCTGTGAATGCCAAAGATGTAGTAAGTTAGTTTATGTTTATTCTCATTTCAACTCATGTGTTCTAACTTTTACATTTTGGGAGATCTGTTGTCTTAATGCTGTTTTATTTTTCCTGTTGCTTAGGATGGGCGGACACCACTTGTTCTGGCTACTCAGATGTGTAGGCCGACAATATGTCAACTGCTGATAGATAGAGGAGCGGATGTTAATTCCAGAGACAAACAAAACAGGTAATTCTTTTATCATGGCTCCCCAGATACCAGCTGGATACACAGGGATGGAAAGGCCAAGTCAAAGTTGCAGCTCTGTTCTCCCACTTGGCCTTTCTTTCCCCTGGGTTCTCCCCTTCCTTGGCTTGCTTTTACTTGGAATTAACATCTACTTCTCAGTTTTCTTCAGAGTCTGCTGAAGAAAGAAGGAGAGGGAAATAGAGAAAATGACAGGGTAAATGTGGACAAAAAAGCAGTGATTAGGTCCTATATTTGGATCAAAGAACTGAAGGAAAGAGGAATTATATCTCAAGTGTTTTAAGCGTAAAAAACTCTTTAATGAAATGGGTGCAAATAAGATACATGGGAGAAGAATTTTAAAATTACATCTATAGTTACTTCTTCATTAGTGAATCTTTTTTCTTGGGTGTTCTGGAAATTAATATGTTTCAGTATAGATTTTCTCAAAGTGTTTTTTCTTCTTACTCTGCCAGGGTACAGTGCCATCTTCTCTGAACCTGTCCATTTCTGTTTTGCAAGGTCCCTTGGTTTATTTTTGCTTCTGTATTTGATATTATTTTAGTTGGTATGCTGTAATAATTTCTACCCAGAAGTCTCCGTATCTCTGTCTGCAGGTCTAATATATCATAGTGCTTGCTGTCTTACAATATTGATGTTTATGGTCACAAAGTATCTGAAATACACCCCCTCCATTTAATTCAAGTATTACAGTAAATTAAACTAAAATTTCTGGGATTTTTCTAGTTAATTACTAGTAAAATTGTTGGTTTCTTTTGACTTAGTTTTATTCTTCCAAACATGTATTCTATTGTTTGTAGTTCATTAGAATTATAAAAGTATAAAAATTAGCCTTTGTCAGATTGTATAGCTGTAATTGTTTACACATCTCAAAGGAGGAAATTTTTAAGCAGTTAAATCATGTGATTAAGAAAGTGGCTTTTTAATATTACTTTGTTTTTGTAGATACTATAATCAGATTCCAAGCATGATGAAGAATATTGGATATTAAAATTAAATTTTATGGCCAGGCGTGGTGGCTCATGCCTGTGATCCTGGCACTTTGGGAGCCTAAGGTGGGCGGATCACTTGAAGTCAGGAGTTCAAGACCAGCCTGCCCAACATGGCACAACCACATCTCTACCAAAAATATAAAAATTAGCCAGGTGTGGTGGCGCGCACCTGTAATCCCAGCTACCCAAGAGGCTGAGGCTGGAGAATTGCTGGAACCCAGGAGACAGAGGTTGCAGTGAGCTGAGATTGTGCCACTGCAGTCTAACCTGGGCAACAGAGTGAGATTCTGTCTCAAAAAAAAAAAGAGAAAAAATAATAATAAAATTAAATTTTAGGATCAGAGAGGGATATTCTGGTTGATCTACATATAATGCTTTGTATTTTTTGTAGCTCTTATATTTTTCAAAGCACTTTATCTGTGTTTTTTCATTGGGAGTTCACAAAAAGCCAATGAGGCAGGGAAGTGTATATTGTATAGACTAAATAGCAGATGGTTTTAAACATAATTTATAACCCCAGTTTCTAATACTTTATATTCAAGGTTTCTTTTTTCCTGTTTTATATTTTGCATTTTTTAAATAACAAAAACTTTGTTAATGCTTGTTTTGTACAGAATTTGTTATCAGCAACCACAGGGGAGTTGGGGAACAAGGCAGGAATATGAGAAACACAGCATACCTAGTGGAGAGAAGGCAAGAGTCAGTTTCCTTAAGAAATCCAATATTCACAATTGAAGACTGAGTTAGATATAGGATAAGTAATTTCATTTAATTATGGGTTGATTAGCTCAACCCTAAAAAAATAGAGGATTAGACAAAATAATTTCTCGGGTCCTTCTAGATTTCCATGACAATTTAATTATTTTGTTGCGTGATTAGTATTTGCTGAGGTACTGTGAGATGTTCGAGTGCCATTGGTTCTATCGCAGCAAAGTAAAGCAGTGATGCCTGTTGCATGGGGTTAGTTGTAGTCTGAAGATGTGAAGGTCTTCAGGTAGAAGAATCAAGGTTCTTCTAAGTAGGAACATCAGGAATGGAATCTGATACTTCTCTTGGAGGAGAAGGGATTCATAGGTTTGCATGATGTGATTCAGTTCATGAAGAGACTGGAACAGTTGGGTTTTGAGCACATGGGTGACAGTATTAGTTGTGGACAATTTTTATGGTGATTATTTACCTGTAGGACATTGAAGAAGTTGAATAAATGAGGTTTGCTTGGTAGTAGAAGTAGTTAAAGTATATAAGGAGATAGAATATTTTAGCTTTGCAAATTAAGACACAAAGCAGGTGTTTTTTATAAATGCAATGAACTTAAAATATAATATAAAGTAAAATCTATATCTGTAACAGGCATGACTTCTTAAAGCAGTGTCTATTCTTTAAGAAGGGAGCCTCTGGCAGAATGTGTCTGCAATATTTCCTTGGATTTTTCTCAGTCTTTTACTCTTCATTTTTCCATTTAGAACTGCCCTCATGCTAGGTTGCGAGTATGGTTGCAGAGATGCAGTAGAAGTCTTAATTAAAAATGGTGCTGATTTAAGCTTGCTGGATGCCCTTGGCCATGATAGTTCTTACTATGCAAGAATTGGTGACAATCTGGACATTCTAACCTTGTTGAAGACTGCATCGGAAAATACCAACAAAGGTATCAGCAGTTTTCTGTGACTAGAAAAGTCCACGTTAACAAGGAGCCACTTTCTAAAGACTTAGGTGGCAGAACTACAGTTTATAAGAAGGAAAACATTACTTACTGATAAACACTGTTGGTTCATCTCCCTCTATAACATGGAGATTTATTTATGTGTTTTTTTGGTGAAGAGGGGTAAAGCTCCTAACTTTTATACTTTTACAAAGTTTTAAAGAAAGAATCGTTGTTTAAACATGTATATAAAATATTCAGCTGATATTTATCAAATGCCTATGCCATGATTGTTGTGTTTTCTCAAAACAGGAAAATACAGAAAAGCACAATGAATAAAGTTAGTCACGCATTATCACTAAGGAGCCTCTCTTAACATTTTGAGAAATATTCTTCTAGTCATTTCCCATAAACTTGAATTCACCTGTAAATCTGAGTTGCAGCTTACGTTTTTATGTAACACATCTTGAAGGCCTTTTCCTCATAAATATTTTTTCTATAGTATGATTTTTGTTGGTTTATAAGATTCCATTTATTTAAGTTTCATTTAATAAAGCAATTTTCTACATGTAGTGTTTAAGCTATTTATAATTATTCATTAGTATGCAAAGGTTGTGACTGTCCTTATGTATAAATATTTTAGTATATTTTTATTACCCTTTAGTGTCAATTCCTAGAAATTGAATCACTGAGTTTCAGGGCATGCACATTTCATTAAGCTTTTGATCTATGTTGACAAATTGCCTTTTAATTTAGGAACTTTTAAAATTCCTCCCCCCTCCTTTTTTTTTTTTTTCAGAGATGGGGTCTGTCTTTGTTGCCCAGGCTAGAGTACAGTAGTGCCATCATAGCTCACTATAGCCTCGAACTCCTGGGCTCAAGCTATCTTCCTGCCTCAGCCTCTTGAGTAGTTGGGACTGTAGGCATGCACCACCATGCCCAGCTAATTTTTTATATTTTTTTGTAGAGATGGGGTCTTGCCATGTTGCCCAGACTAGTCTTGAACTCCTAGCCTCAAGTGATCCTCCTGCCTCAGCCTCCCAAAGTGCTGGGATTACAGGTGTAAGCCACTATACCCAGCCTAAATAAATTTTCCATTTTTTACCTGCCTCCCCTCCTTAGTTTTTAATGTTACCTACTTGAATGTTGTTATAAAAAACTTGCTAATTTGGTAGGCAAAAATGAGATTTCATTATTGTTTTAAGCATATGTTTTGGAAATAAAACAAAAAAGTTGTAAGCTCTAGAAGAAACTTTCAAGTTTATTTATTTAATATTGACTCAATTGTATAGTTAGGGAATGCATATCTACCCCCAGTTGACCTACCATTTTGTCGTTTCTCTTTTTCTCTCTTAAAATCTTAGGGAGAGAACTTTGGAAGAAAGGACCATCTTTGCAACAGGTATATCTTAATTTTTAATTTTTAAAAATTGTATGTATTGTACAGTTTAAGTAAAGGGCTTTGAGAAACTAGTTAATTGTTATGCATAGCTCTTCTGAGTTTAAATGCATTCTATCCCTCTTCTCAGTTAATCAAGCCCTTGTAGATTCTGGGTATTTAGATCATGAGGTCCTATTAAGATATTGCCACTTAGCTTGAGACACAGTAGATCTCAATTTCAATGAAGGTACCCAGTGGGAAAGAAATAGCCTCCTGATGTGAGCATTCAACTCTTTCAAGTATTAGACATTGTAACTTGTTAAATGATGAACTGTAGCTTGGTAGATCATAGACAGTTTCCCCCTAGTTTCTCTTAATAACAGAGCAAAATATTTACTCTTATGGGAAAATTCTTTCAGTGTAATAAGAAATGAAGAAAACAGAGTTCTAAACTGATTATATATTGTGATTTCAATGCTACTGTTAGCATTTTTATTTCTTCAGTCTTTTTTTCTCTGTGTGTTTAATTGAGGACTTTACAAAATAACAACACATGAAATAATTCTTGCTTTGCACTAATTTTATTATTAAAGTACTGTTTAACCCTGTTTTGATGTCCCACTTTGTGAAATGTCTTATGCTTTCGACTAATCTATTTGTGTTAAGTGGGGTTGGTTTACAGCACTATGGCTCAAAAGCTAGTGTAGGCAGCTTTCCTCTCCTGCTGGCTGTTCCCTTCCAGGCTTTTCTCTAGTGAGAGGAACCTAAGCACTTGCAAACCCTGAAGAGAAAGTAATCAGGTACTTTGAGCAATTCTGATCATCCTGTGTCATTTTTCTACCTCTCACCTCAATCTGAAAGTTACATTAAAAAATTTTGTTACTTTATTTTACTTTTAAGTTCTGGGATACATGTGCTGAACGTGCAGTTTTGTTACATAGATATACATGTGGCATGGTGGTTTGTGCACCTATCATGAAAGTTACATTAAAGCTTGTTTTGCTTTTTAATCCATCTGAATTAATATGTTAATGCATGGGTCATGTCTGTTGATACTTTTCCATCTGGAGCATCTCTTCCAACCTTCTCCTCTGTGCCTCATATAACCTAAGTGTAAGTAGAGTGAGAAAAATGTACACTACTATGTCTGTACTAGCTGTCTCACACAGAACCAGAGAAAAATGATTTCTGAAATATATAGATATTTAAAAAGAATTATTGAATATTAATACGGGAACAGTGCTGTGCTCAATGCTCTAGGAAATATTGAAGTGAATACAGGAGTTAATATTCTACTAGGAACAGAATGACACTGCTCCTAATTACTGTGTTTCCAGCGTTTATTGAATAAAGTTGTTAAAAATATGTGGAAAATAGGATTTCTTATACTAAGGCACATGTAATCTCTTTTATCAAGTATCGTTGCAAATGTAAGACTCACTCAGTTGTTTGTTCCACAGATAGCTGTTGAACACTTACAACATGGCAACTACTGTTTTAAGTGCTGGGGATATTGTAGTGTACAGTCTTTGCCCTTAGGGAACTCCCAGCTTAGTCAGAGATGAAAAATAAGCACAGGAATATTTAGTATCTTAGCAGATGCTATGAAGAAAAACAAAAGACAATTAAGGGATGAAGAAGGAGTGGGTGGAGGTCTGTGGGAGACGCCTCACAGGCCAAGGGAAGGGCAGGTGCCCAGCCCCTGATGAGGGCGCAGGGTAGACATGTCCATGAGGCGGGAGCAGGTTTGACATGCCCATGGGGCAGCAGCAGACAAGTGTGACAGGAACGATGTGCCCATCATGGAGGGAGCAGAAGAGACTGCTAAAGTAACAAAGTACTAGGTTAGGAAGGGCTTTGTATGTTAAGGACTTTGGATATGTATCCACCAATAACTACCAGATGGCAGAAGGCAGGATGTGTGTACCCCAATCAGTGGAGCCAAGAGGTGCAAGAGAGGTTCTTGTAGTGTGCTCATAGCAAGACTTGTCAGGAAGGTGGATCTTTAATTAAGAATGGGATTGATACAGTATGTCTGAGCTGGAATATAGTGGAGGCAGTAGGTGAGGATTCTGAAGTGAAGGCTGGGAATGAAAGTGGTATGGTCAGGTGAGCTGTGAGAAGATGTCAGATCCCACTTGAAGAACAGCCCTTTGGTAGAAGGAATGAGGCTAGAAACACAGGGCCAAATTGTGGATATAGAATATTTTTTAAATGGGACTTGTTCTTCTAGCTCTAGGTCCAGGCCCACTCGAATGATAGTTTAAAAACATGATCAAGCAAAACTAAACAAATAATGTAAAACGTGAAAAAATTAGCTCAAAGAATTGAAGTAGTAGTTTTTTTTTTTTAATAATCAGAAAGGAAGAAAGAAATAGCTTTCTACATTAGCTATTGTAGATATTTAAAGATCATTTGTGGTTTTTTTTTTAAAGGGGGGTTATTTGTTCTTGTTTAATAATCATTTTGTGTTTTTGTTAAAGCAAATCTCTAAGCTGGAATAAAGTTGCAAAGCAGTAAGTTACAAAAACAGAACATATACCCAACCAAGTTGTTTAGAGACCTTTTTATATAGCTTGGGTCAGAAGACTATCTCTTCCTTACCATACCTCTTGATATTTTATTTAGGCGGTGCTCAGAGAAGTAAATAATTTCTGTATTGTCTTTCAAAATTAATAGACTTCCGCTTCCTCCTCCTTTGTTTTTAAAATTGAGTTCTTTTAGGAGTAGTTGGCAATGCAGTGCTTTATAGCCCAACTTTTGTTATGCGCTTATTACAAATTCTCCTTTTTAAAATTTTGTGACTTTAGTTAAAATAAATCCTTAGTAATAAATATTTTAAAATTTGTTATCATTTAGTATTTTTAAGTAAATTATCCTTGATTTGTTTAAAACATAGCCTTAAAGGTGCTTTCCATTTTGGGGTTTTAAATAGAAATACTGCCACCTTGTGTTTTGTGCAGCAAAATTTAATGTTGGATAAACTGAAAATCACTAATTGGGTATATTGCCAATTGAGGAAAATACACTTTTCTGTATTCTCACACTTGCTGTCCTGTGTTTCCTTATGTTTTACCAAAGCGAAATTTGACACACATGCAAGACGAAGTAAATGTGAAGTCATATCAGAGGGAGCATCAAAATATTCAGGTAAAAAGAAAAAAATATGATATCTTCCTTTAAAAAGAATTCCAGTATTTGTAGTGGGATTGAGAGAGAAGAGAGGAAGGAAGACAGTAGGTGAAATGAGTGGGGCAACAAAAGGGAAGCTTGTTAAAATTGTGATTCTCTTTTTTCTTCCCTAATCTCCCTTTTTTTTTTTTTTTTTTTTTGAGAGACTCTCACTCGGTCCCCCAGGCTGGAGTGCGATGGCGTGGTGTTGGCTTACTGCAACCTCCACCTCCTGGGACCACGTGATTCTCCCGTCTCACCCTCCCGAGTAGCTGGGACTATAGGCATGTGCCACCACACTCGGCTAGTTTTTGCATTTTTAGTAGAGACGGGGTTTTACAATGTTGGCAAAGTAAAAACTCCTAACCTCCTGATCCGCCCGCCTCAGCCTCCCAGAGTGCTGGGATTACAGACATGAGCCACTGCACCCAGCTGATGCCTAATCTCTTCTTAAAGAATTGACTTTTGTTATCAGTGTTTGGGTCTAGTATTGTAAAATTAAATTACGTATATAATATGAAGTATGGTGTAGGAAGTATTGTTTTGATATATATTAGAAGAAGCAACTTTATATAACTATTTGATTTTAAATGTGTCTGTTTTGTGATATAAACCATACATTTGTGTTTATTTAGGAAAATTATGTCAATAAAGATGATTAATGTAAATTAAATTTGAATTTTTTCTTAAAGTATTTTCTATTTTGATTAAGAAAAATAATTTTGTTTAACTACATAGTACTTTTTACCTTTTATATTGGTCAAAGTTTTCAAAAAATATGCAGATTATTTGAGAGGAAGAACCCATAATTAGTTTATTTTATGACTGAAACACCATTAAATGATAAATTGAATAGCTGTTTTAAATATAATAAAGCAAAAGCATTTTATTTGGGTTTTCTTAGTTTACTATGCAGTGTAAGAAAATGAACTATGTCCTTAAATTGGAGTCTTTATCTTTTACCAGAGCATTGAAAATGATGATTAGTTCATCAAAAGCATTAGAAGATTCTCATAAACTTGGGAGGTCTTAAGCAAAAGTTAAAATGGCATATTCTTTTGCTCTTTACTATATCTAAGTGCTTTTTTTTTTTTATTGGAATGATGATGATTTTCCCTCTTGTAGTCTATACTCATATTTATTAGCTATCATACGATAGTAACTATTTTATTTTTGATCTGTAGATTTTAAATCATTGGAGTATCATTGAAATTATTGTATCTTTGTACGTAGTGTTTTACATATGTATGTACGTGTATGTGATAGTTAACTGCTTTTAAAAATTTCTTCTATAAGAATTTGCTCTTTTAAGATTGGCGTGGCACCTTATTATCTTTATTATTTAAGGGTTTGGAGATTGAAAATGAAGATTTGAAAGAGAGGTTGAGAAAAATGCAGCAAGAACAAAGAATACTTTTGGATAAAGTCAATGGTTTACAGTTACAACTGAATGAGGTAAATAAATCTGCATAATAAAAAAGGATCAAAAACTGTCTTACTACATCATCAATAGCAAATTGTTAATGATTGTGTTAAAGAAGGTAAAATTAGGTTATTGCACTTCAGAGGAGTTAAATCTTACTGAAGACAAGGCTTTTTACATGAAATTTAAAATTTTAAATTTAAAGTAGCATAAGCTAACAAGTAACGAGAGTGTAAAGAATGTTCAGGGAAGTGAAGAGAGATCATTGCGGGCTGCCGCGTCTGAGGGGGCACTTCCTGTGGGAGATGATACTTCTGTTGAATTTTGAAGGAAGTAAGAGGGAATCAGAGGGCATGCCAGAGAATATTGTGATGAGCAAAATCACAGAAGCGGTGACCTATGATATATTCCTTGTTGTATAAAAAATTGGAAATACAAGAAATATTCATAAATCATTCTTTTTAGAGGGAAAGTAGAATATATATGAAATTTAGTGTATCAGTTCACTCTTTATACATTTTATTAGGCACAGGACATCACAGGTGAAATCTTTTGTGATATTTACATTTCAGAAGTAAGAAGTAAATGCATGATTGGTACAGCTGTGTCCTTGTGATTCTAATTTTTGGTATCACTTTAATATCTTGCTATCTGTGTTAGATTTTCCTAAAATTGAACATATGCAAAAACAAAAGGCTGAACTATAGTTAGGGCCATGGGATTAGAGAGGAAAGAGCAGACAGAAGATATGAGGAGGAAGAACAAGTAGAACTTGGTGGTTGATAGGTTCTCAAGAGAATCAAAAGTGCTTCTGAACCTGGATAGTGAGAAGAATGAATGACAACTCATACAATAGAATTGGTAGTACATAATTTTCTTCTCATATCCTTGGCCCCAATCTTAAAGACATGTGCCAATCTTTTATTTAAAAGATCTTTGCCAAGTTCATGCCTTTTAAAATAAGCTTTTAAGAATTAAAATATTTTGTGTTCTTTTGAAATTTAGGAAGTTATGGTTGCTGATGATCTGGAAAGTGAGGTAGGATGACATTTTATTTTAAAGCCATAAAAATGTTTTATGAATTGAAGATGATTAGTAGTAAAAGTTTAAGTCCTGAATTGAGATAGAGACCAGGATTCTATTTGTGGTTTATTATTTAAAGGGAAATTGAAAATCTATACGTGACTAAAAAAGGATGTTTTGAATATAGTGGTGTAGATTATTGCAGGCATTTTGTTGTTATTGCCTCTGAAAATCTTACCTTCTATGAAACTTGTCCTGAAAATAATGTAAAATTCTAAATATAAAGAAAATGTCTGAAAACATTAAGATTGAAAACAAACACCAGAGATTTGAATTTTTCATGATTTTGTTTATAGATATTTTATGTTTCATTAGTATATTTGTAGAAATTATCAACTCTACTAGTAGTTAAAATTCACCAGGTTGGAGAATTCATTAACTCCAGTCCTCAGTGTAATTCCCATTCATGTTTTCTAAAACACATTTTTAACCCAATTTCAACCACAGGGTGATCTTACTCTGTTTCCTCTGTTCATTTCAGAGAGAAAAGCTGAAGTCCCTTTTGGCAGTTAAAGAAAAGCAACATGAAGAAAGCCTAAGAACCATTGAGGCTCTGAAAAATAGATTTAAATATTTTGAGGTACAGAAAGGTTAAATTATTTCCTATAATTCACAATGGCTAATGGTAAGGAGCTTGGCATCAGACTTGAATTTGATTTATAAATCTCTTTTTTATAGTGTGACCTTGGGCTGCTTATTTAAAGTTGCCTCTTTGGTAAAATTGGGGTGATTGTCTCTTTTTCCACATAGTTATAAAGGTTAAGTGAGATCATTTAAATTGACTAGTATGTAATTGACATTTAGTTTCATTCCAGTTTCTCTTCATTGTCCATCCTTACCTTTTTGAAACATCATATTTTCACCTATAAATTTGCAATGAGTATAATGATAAAAAGCATTCATATAAATGAATAATGATATGTCCAGGATTATCTCAGAAAGAATTTGTCACTGGGCATCACTGAAGGCAGCTGATTCAGCATGAATCTTTTATCTTTATTGGTGAATACAGCCCTAAAGTACACTAAAAAAGTGTCTTAGTCCATTTGTGCTGCTCTAATAGAATACAGAAAATTTATGAAGAACAAATTTATTTCTCACAGTTCTGGAGGCTGGAAAGTCCAAGATGAAGGCTCTGGCATTCATGTCTGGTGAGGGCCTTCTTGCTGCATTCTCACCTGGCAGAAGGCGAAAGGCAAAAAGGGGCCTAAGTGAAGACCTCATGACTTAAGCACTTTGCAAAAGGCCCCACCTGTTAATATCAGCACAGTGGGAATTAAGTTTCAACATATTTTCGCAGACATTCAGGCCATAGCAAAAATAATATTTTTCTTTGTAAATAAAAAACTATGTGTGCATTATGAAAAATTACATAAGACATGTTGTATGGGTCTCACAGACATAATGTTGCATGGAAGAAATCAGACACACAGAGTACATACTGCACAATTCTATTTTTATGAAGTTCAAAAGCAGATAAAACTAATCTGTCATATTAGATATTAGTTATTAGAATAGAGGCCACCCTTTGGTTGGTTACTGAGTAAGGTTGCGTTTGAAGAAACTTCTGGGGTCCTGGAAATGTTCTATATCTTAATCTGGGTTGTGTATAATTACAAAAGGTATGTATGTACAAAAATTCATTGTATTGTACATATTTAATATGTGTGCATATTTATGTGACTGAATTTTCAAGATTATTCAGAAACATGCTTTTATAACCCAAAGAATGATGTAGCTATAGTGGCTTCTATTTTTTCACATTTGAAGACTCTTTTTTAGGTTAATTTTGGTGATTGCTAATATTTTTGTAGCACTGACCATGTACTTTGCATTCTTGACATACATCATAAAATAAATCAACTCTATGTGACAAGTTTTATTGTCACCTGACTTCATAGGTAAGGAGGCTGAGGCACGGAGAGGCTTACCCATGAGGATTTCACAAATATTAAGTGGCAGGGTCAGGACTTGAACCCAAGCATCTGGCTCCTTTGTGCTTTCAACTACATTGCTAGTTTTAATTACACTTAGAATTACTTGAATGAGAAAATTTAGGAGTATATACGAGGCCTTTTTAGTATTCGTCAAAGTTTGACACCTATAATTTGGGTACTATTTATGTACATACTTCTTTTAGGAGCTAGACTTACTGCATGTCTTAAGTGTAAGATGTAGGCGGGGTGCAGTGTCTCATTCCTGTACTCCCTGCCACCATGCCTAGCTAATTTTTTTGTGTTTTTAATAGAGATGGGGTTTCACTATGTTGGCCAGGCTGGTCTTGAACTCCTGACTTCAGGTGATCCATCTGCCTCAGCCTCCCAAAGTGCTGGAATTACAAGCGTGAGCTACCACGTCCAGCTTGTTTTTGTAATTTTTGTAGAGACAGGGTCTTGCCATGTTGCCTAGGCTGGTGTTGAACTCCTGGGTTCAAGTGATCTGCCCTTCTCAGCCTTCCAAAGTGCTGAGATTATAGGTGTGAGCCACTGCGCCTGGCCTATTCTTACTCATGAAGTGTAATATTTTAATTTGTATGTTAGATTCTTTGTATTTGACTTACTTAGGAAAAGGAACAACCCAGTCTATTTTGATTCACTGTATCTGGAGTTTCTCTATTATTTCCTAACTAATGGATTGAGGGATTTATTACTATGTGTAGGTCTCTCTGCCTCAGTTTTATTTCCTGCTGTCTTTCTCCTTTTACTTTCAAAGTAATTGGTATTTTATAAACTCTGAAAGAAGGAGTTATGTTGATATTTCATTGTCAATGAGGTAGCGTTTCCGCTTCCTACAGTGGTAAAGTAAAATGAGTTATTGATGTGAATGTGGCCACTTCCTTCCTTTTGAGGTAAAGCAGTAGCAAACAGTAGGTTTTGAAAGCTATTTCAGTTCTTTTAGGGCTTACATTTTTTTCTTTTGAGCAATAAAGTTTTTCCTTAAAACATTTGGCTGCTTTTATTAAAATACTTGGTGAAGTAGTTTATTCCCAACTGATCTCTCTCAGTCGCTAGTGCTGTGTCTTTTTGTGGGTTTGAGTAGAATAATGCTCAGGAGAAACAAGGAATGTCAAAAATGTGGTTTTAATGACTGCATCATTTACAGCTAAAACAGATACAGAATTTAACAAAATGAGGCAGCATTCCCCCTAAAATGTTTTAATTTATGCTTCTGATTTCAGAGTGATCATTTAGGATCAGGAAGTCATTTCAGTAACCGTAAGTATGAGTATGGATTATCATTATAGTTCACCTAGTTCAAGCAAAGAAGAATGTTTATTCATATTTGTTTAACTGTAAAAGATATTCCTGCTGTTAAACTTCAACATATGGAACTAGGAAGATGTTAAGATGACTACTGTAACCGCTAACATATATTCTGATAATTACTGAAGCTCTGATTCTCCTTAGATACCTGTATTTTAAAATCGTATATTGTATGAATTACCAAATTTGCCTTGTTGATTAGCAGACATAGACATTTGTCCTGTGATATTTGGGGTTCATTTTTTATGGAAAGAACATAAACATAGTTTTCTAATTTGAAGAAATCAGTCTCAATCCAGGTAGCCATTTAAAAATTACATGTTCAATAAACAATTAGGAATTATTTTTAGACTATACACAATCTTCTTTATTCTGCAATGTTAAACAATTTCTCTAGAAAATCTATTTTTGTTTATTTCCTAGTGACCATTAAACTATCCTCTTGTACAACAGTAATATTTATGCTATCATACATGTTTTATTATCGTGTAGCCTAGTTAGTTTAATGGTCTTAGATGTTTCCGAAATCTTACTTAGTGATTCTGCCGAGACAGAGCATAGAAAAAAGTAAGCAAAAAAACCTTAGTATCGATTGTGCAGTAGACTCTGTAGGTACTTCTCTTTTATGTTTATAGAAATAATAACAGGGAAAATGGGTATTTTAGAATGAGGATTCTTTTATGTTGTACCTTCTGCTTCTCTTTTATTTGAATAATAAAGGAAGTAACGTCAAATTGATGCTTAGCCTACTTTTGTATGGATATTTAAGTTAAAATGTCATTTATTTGCATTTATTTAGGAAAAGAAGATATGCTTCTTAAACAGGGTCAGATGTATATGGCAGACTCACAGGTAATAAGTGTCTTTATTTTAAAAATCATTTAAAGAAAATTTCTGTGCCTTTATAGAAAGAGGAGAAAGGAACATTGTATATATTAAGCATATATTCATAAAGTGAGGTTTTCATTATCAAAAAATATTGGTTCTGCTTTCTTGGGTTTAATAAAAACAGATATTGCTGTTTCTGGTGCCCTCTAGAGTGTTTTTGATGATAGTGGTTATAGTAAGAGATTTGAATTACAGTTTCATTGCATTTGATGCTAAGCTTCTGTTCATTAACAGTGATCAGTTACCTCTTCATATTTACCTATATAAAAGGGAAGATAGATATGAATAATTCAAAAGTAATTTGTTTTGGATTTGAAATATATTTTCCCTGACAACTAAATATATTATATTTTGGAAATTTACCTCGAAATACAGAAAACTTCCAGGAGGTAGAGTGTAGTCTGATTTTCTTACCTGCTTTTCTGCTCCTCGCTTCACATTTCATTAGATACAGGGTTTGCCTTTCTGGCATTTTCTGTGGACTGCAGAACTGGTAAATATCTGGGCTTTTAAAGACATTTCTTACATATCTTCATTTGTAGGTAGAGTGAGTTAGGCTAGATGCCTCAGATCTCTTTAAGATGGAAAAATCTAAGATTCTAAATTAGGAGAGTGGTTATCAGCTTGACCAGTAATTAAAAAGATTAGATAAATATTTGATTATGGTGAAACAAGTGGGAAGTTGTGAAGCTATGTAAGTAATTCTTCATAAATTATAGTAGTCTTAGTTTAAAGATAATTGATAAGTTGAAAGATAATTTAGAAGCAGACGGAGGCTGGGAAATTATTCCATGTTGTCAGTTTTTTTTCCTCTTGATTCAGGGGAAAGGCAGTTCCGATTTAACTGACAGTAAATCTGTAGGGGTCTGCAGCAAGCTCTGTCCTTGCCTCGTAAGAGGCAAGGATTTGGCTGAAGGGCAGAAGTAGGCTTAAGGCAGAGGGAGAGACCAAGGGAAGTTTTAGGGCAGGAGTGAGTTTATTAAAAAGTGTTAGAGCAGGAACAAAAAGAAGCAAAGTACACTTGAAAGAAGACCAAGTGGGTGGCTTGAGAGATCCCAGTGCCCTGTTCAGCCCTTAGCTTGGGATTTTTATACAGTGGCTTGGTTTGGGGGTTTGCATTTCTCCTCCCTTGATTCTTCTCTTGGGGCAGGCTATCTGCATGCATAGTGACCTGTCAGCACTTAGGAGGGGCCACATGTGTAGTGCCTTTGCTAAGGTTGTGCACATGCTCTCTAGAGACTATTTTCCTTGACCAGTCAGATGCCCCCAGAAGAAGGTCATACATCCACCATTTTACCTCTTAGTTCACATGCTTGAGCCAATTCATCCAGCTCCTGAGATCTTACCGGAAAGCTGCCAGTCACCAGCTCCAGGTGTTTTCTATCTATTGGGAGACTCTTCTGGTTCTGGCTGTGACCAGTCATTCTCTTGACAACTTTAATAACTAGCTGGGTTTATTTTGGTGGTATTTTTATAATTTAAAGAATATTCTGTTGGAATTAACAGCAAAGGTACGCAGAAGTAAAAAATCTTATTAGCACTTAATCTATAATTCTATGAAATTATCTGCAAATTCAAAATTACAGTACTTGTTTTTATTGAAGGATACAATGGTTTTCTTCAGAATTTGAAGTTCTAAGCACATTATGTGACATAAAACAGAAATAATAAATATGTTTTGATAAAGTTGATGGTTTTCATATGTGGGTAGGTATTATAAATGGGGAAAGAAAGACAAAATAGCACCCAGTGACCATGGTCATTTTTCCTTTGTTCTTCCTGGAATAGACTTAAGTGAAGAGAACTCTCAATATGTTGTGGCTATCTTAGGGAAATCATATCCAGAACTGTTTTTCTTACCACAGAAATGAACATTTGATATTTTTCCGTCGTACTACCTCATCTGAAAACCCTTTGACTCCCGATGATCTGCAAACTTTCCATAAGTTTGGTGAAAAAGTATAGTAAATATCTCATTTAGGCTTTTGTAATTGATGTCTTTTTTTTTCTTTTTAGTGTACTTCCCCAGGTATACCAGCCCATGTGCAAAGCAGATCTATGTTAAGACCTCTGGAGCTATCTTTATCCAGTCCAACATCATACTCTGAAAATGAAATTTTAAGGAAAGAGTTAGACACAATGCGAACTTTCTGTGAGTCAGCAAAACAAGACCGACTGAAGCTCCAAAATGAACTGGCACACAAAGTGGCAGAATGCAAAGCATTAGCATTAGAATGTGAAAGGGTCAAGGAGGATTCAGATGAACAGATAAAGCAATTAGAAGATGCATTAAAAGATGTACAGAAGAGGATGTATGAATCAGAAGGTAAAGTTAAACAAATGCAGACCCACTTTCTTGCCCTTAAAGAACACTTAACAAGTGAAGCAGCTACAGGGAATCACAGACTAACCGAGGAACTAAAGGATCAGTTGAAAGACATGAAAGCAAAATATGAAGGTGCTTCAGCAGAAGTGGGGAAATTAAGAAACCAAATCAAACAAAATGAGATGATAGTAGAAGAGTTTAAGAGGGATGAAGGCAAGCTGATAGAAGAAAATAAGCGATTGCAGAAGGAACTTAGTATGTGTGAAATGGAGCGAGAGAAGAAAGGAAGAAAGGTCACAGAGATGGAAGGCCAGGCAAAAGAATTGTTAGCAAAGTTGGCCCTTTCCATTCCAGCTGAAAAATTTGAAAACATGAAGAGCTCATTATCAAATGAAGTGAATGAGAAAGCAAAAAAATTAGCAGACATGGAAAGAGAATATGAAAAATCACTTAGTGAAATTAGACAGTTAAAGAGAGAACTTGAGAATGGTAAGGCTAAGCTTGCTCAGCATGTCAAACTGGAGGAACATGAACAGGTTAAGAGCAGATTAGAGCAGAAATCAGGAGAACTTGGGAAGAAGATCACCGAGTTAACATTGAAAAATCAGACATTACAAAAGGAAATTGAAAAAGTTTATCTGGATAATAAGCTCCTTAAGGAGCAAGCACATAACTTAACAATTGAAATGAAAAATCATTATGTTCCTTTAAAACTAAATGAAGATATGAAAAAGTCACATAATGCAATTATTGATGATCTTAATAGAAAGCTTTTAGATGTAACACAAAAATATACAGAAAAGAAATTGGAAATGGAGAAATTGCTACTGGAAAATGACAGCTTAAGCAAGAATGTGAGTCGCCTAGAAACTGTGTTTGTACCTCCTGAGAAACATGAAAAAGAGGTAACAGCTCTGAAATCCAATATTGTTGAAGTTAAGAAACAGCTGTCTGAACTTAAGAAAAAATGTGGCGAAGACCAGGAGAAAATACATGCTCTCATGTCTGAAAACACTAACTTGAAGAAGATGATGAATAATCAGTATGTGCCAGTTAAAACCCATGAAGAAATTAAAACAACACTGAATAACACGTTAGATAAAACTAACAGAGAATTATTAGATATGAAGAAAAAATATGAAGATATAAATCAGGAATTTATAAAACTAAAAGATAAGAATGAAATATTAAAAAGAGACCTGGAAAACACTCAGAACCAAATAAAAGCTGAGTACATCAGCCTGGCAGAGCACGAGGCAAAGATGAGCTCGCTAAGTCAGAGCATGAGAAAGGTGCAGGATAGTAATGCTGAAATCCTGGCCAACTACAGAAAAGGCCAAGAAGAGATTGTGACACTGCATGCCGAAATTAAAGCCCAGAAGAAGGAGCTCGACACAATACAAGAATGCATTAAAGTAAAATATGCACCAATTGTCAGCTTTGAGGAGTGTGAGAGAAAATTTAAAGCAACAGAGAAAGAACTAAAAGATCAGTTATCAGAGCAGACACAGAAGTATAGTGTCAGTGAAGAAGAAGCCAAGAAAAACAGGCAAGAGAATGACAAGTTAAAGAAGGAGATTTTTACCCTTCAGAAAGATTTGAGAGATAAGACGGTTCTCATTGAGAAGTCTCATGAAATGGAAAGAGCATTAAGCAGAAAAACAGAAGAGCTAAACAAACAGTTAAAAGACTTGTCACAGAAATACACAGAAGTAAAGAATGTGAAAGAGAAGCTAGCAGAAGAAAATGCCAAACAGGCTTCTGAGATACTTGCAGTGCAAAATCTTTTGCAAAAGCAACATGTTCCATTGGAACAGGTTGAGGCTCTGAAAAAATCTCTTAATGGCACAATTGAGAATCTAAAGGAAGAACTGAAGAACATGCACAGGTGTTATGAGAAAGAGCAGCAGACAGTGACCAAACTGCATCAGTTGTTGGAGAATCAAAAGAACTCTTCTGTGCCCCTGGCAGAGCATTTACAGATTAAAGAAGCATTTGAGAAAGAAGTTGGAATCATAAAAGCTAGCTTGAAAGAAAAGGAAGAAGAAAGCCAAAACAAAATGGAAGAAGTCTCCAAACTTCAGTCTGAGGTTCAGAATACTAAACAAGCATTAAAAAAGTTAGAGACTAGAGAGGTAGTTGATTTGTCTAAATATAAAGCAACAAAAAGCGATTTGGAGACACAGATTTCCAGCTTAAATGAAAAATTGGCCAATCTGAATAGAAAGTATGAGGAAGTATGTGAGGAAGTTTTGCATGCCAAAAAGAAGGAAATATCTGCAAAAGATGAGAAGGAATTACTACATTTCAGCATTGAACAAGAAATCAAGGATCAGAAGGAACGATGTGATAAGTCCTTAACAACAATCACAGAGTTACAAAGAAGAATACAAGAGTCTGCTAAACAAATAGAAGCAAAAGATAATAAGGTAGGTACAGAGTGGCCTGTCTGCACGGCTAATGTGTTGGAACCCCAGAGCAGCACTGGCAGAGTCGAAAGAGAATAGGACTCTACCACAGAATCTCACAGGGAGCTATACACAGGTATTAACAAAGTGACCGGGCTGTGCTACACTTTCCCAGTTAAATTCTGAAGCCCATAAATGTATGAAAAGGTTAAAAAACAAACAAACAAACAAATTAGACACACCCTTTCCAGTCTGGCAACTTGTGTGCAAAAATTCTGAATCGTAAAAAATGAAGTAACATAAACAAAAATCAAAAGCATTTTTCCTTCTGTTTCTTTAGCTGTTCTAGCCAAGAATTGAGGAACAGCGGGGAGACTTAAGGTTCATAGATGGAGAGTCAAAAGTCAGTGGGTTTGTGGCATGTGAAAGATGGGGAAGGGGATGGTGGGGAAGCTCTCTTCCTGGGCTGCAAGAAACCAAGCACTCTGGGGAGCATCCAGAGTTGATCTTGGCACTCACCCACCGTTGTAAACTGAGCCCTCCAATTTATTTTATGTTCGGTTGCTCATGTCTTTCTACAGACTAGTTTCCTCACCCAGAATGTCCTTTTCCTCCTTTTACTGAGTTGAATCCTATACATTCTTCAACATGTTATCCTCCTTCCTAAAGCCCTCACTGTCCAATCTAGCCTATAGTAAATAGTTCGCCCTCCAAGATGCATGTTTGGTTGTGGCTTTGCCATCCATTTAAAACATTTATATTACCTTGTTAGAATTATGTGATTGATCTTCCCAATCAGTTTTTAAGAGGAGGGTTTATAACTTAACTTTCCATCTTATCTTTCATTCTCAACAATATTTTTGAAACTGATATTGCATTAAGCTTGTACTATGGAGATGAAATATGAAGATTGACTGCAGTTTTATCAATCAACATGTAATGATTAATTGCCTTCTGCATGTCATGTGCTGGAGATACAGTTGAGTAAACACAGACACAGACTGCCCTCCCCAGTGAGAGTACTTGTACGTACTATCCTCTGGCACACCACCTCCATGATTGATAATTTAAGTGCGCTAAGCTTGTTCAGAAGGTAGTTACGGTATATATAGTAATATATAATTATAAGCATTAATTAATAGCTACTTGTCATTTATTGAGCATGTTACTTATAATTGCATTTGATTGCCTTTTTTTGTCCTATTATTATTTTTCAATAAAAAATTTTGTGGGGGAAGGGATGGAGTTATATTGCCCAGGCTGGTCTTGAATTCCTTGAATTGGATGACTACTGTATAGCAGGCATGATATTAAACATTTTACATACCTTATCTGTAAACTTTATCTTCATCACAATCCCACAAAACAGGTTTATTTCCTCCATTTGATTCTTAAGGAAACAAAGAGTACAACACTTGATGCCTGGGGTCATTCAGCTCGGGTATAAATCTGAAACTGGCTGACTCCAAATCTAGTTTAAACAATCCTCCTGCCTTGGCTTTCCAAAGTGTTGGGATCATAGGTGTGAGCCACTGTGCCCAACCTGATTTTCTTCACTCTGAAAGATTATCCAGCTTTCAGCAATGTGGAATCTAAGGCTCAGAAAAGTGAAGGAAATTAGCCACATTCTTATAAGTCAACTCTGTCTGACTTTAAAGTAGGGGAGAAAAGCTATGTTTCTAGGGACTTCCTATAAACAGCCACCTTGTTTTTTTTTTTTTTTTTTTTTTCCCTTGACAGCAAAGTGGTCTTAAATAATACAACTCTTGGAAGGTACAAGAAACATGTTAATTCTAGACTTACATGGGCTACACCCTTTTACTTTTTACACTTCATTGCAGGGAATCCCCCTTCCCTTCCTGTGTTCCAGAAGTTACCTGGAAAATAGTACATATGCCTTCATAGATGCTTATATATTATCTAAAAGTAAGAACACTATACTCACATCTTAGGAGATATGTAATATTTATTCTTAATTTGGTATTGCTTTTGTAAAGAATTTCTGGAAAGGAATTTAATTATAAATTACATATTGATAACAATCTTGGCAATATTCATACCTCAGTTTTCTGGTGTATAAAGATAAAGCTTGTGTCTCCAGAAAGGAATGATTTCTGTACAGAGATGTTCATTATACATGAATAAGTGAATAATATGTTTCTCCCACAACTTTTTTTTTTAAAGATAACTGAATTGCTTAATGATGTGGAAAGACTAAAACAGGCACTCAATGGCCTTTCCCAGCTCACCTACACAAGTGGGAACCCCACCAAGAGACAGAGCCAGCTGATTGACACTCTGCAACACCAAGTGAAATCTCTGCAGCAACAGCTGGCTGTGAGTAACCAGACACATGGGTCTTTGCGTGAATATGTGCTGTTTCCCTGTAGTTAGTTTGTAAGGCTAATTTAGAAATTAACTGTAGCTGTGTTCAGATCCAAGAATGTAATTGTTTTTATATACCAAAAGTTACCTACACTGGTGGTGTAATAATACGCATTGGATGACTACTGTATAGCAGGCATGATATTAAACATTTTACATACCTTATCTGTAAACTTTATCTTCATCACAATCCCACAAAACAGGTTTATTTCCTCCATTTGATTCTTAAGGAAACAAAGAGTACAACACTTGATGCCTGGGGTCATTCAGCTCGGGTATAAATCTGAAACTGGCTGACTCCAAATCTAGCATCTTTCTCACTGCAGTGTACCCTCTAAAATATTGGTCCCACTAAACTAACGGAGGTTTTAAAATAATCTTTTATCTTTGTGAATAAAGAGGCATTCCTATGGTTTTATACCTTGCATAGAAGGATAAGTGCCTGGATTTAGAAGCTTAAATTGGAAGCTGTGGTCTAAGTCCTGCCACTTATAAGGAAGTGACAAGGAACATTCCCTTTAACCCTTGGTTTTCTCATCCAGAAAATAGAATAATAACTGATTACTTGCTTGTCTGCATGTTTTAAAGATGAGTTCTTGCTATATTGCTTATTAGGCTGGTCTCCCGTGGGGTCTTACTGTAGGCTGATCTGGGCTCAAGTGATCCGATTGCCTCAGCTTCTTGAGTATCTGGGACTATATTTTTAATTGAATGCACTAATACACATTGAAATGCTAAGTAAAATGGTCCAATCACATGTAAATTGTTGCCAGTGTTTTCCTATTTCATAGAATTGTTTATGAGTTTTTTTTTAATACAAGAAAGGTTTTTTTTTTTTTTTTTTTAGTGTTTATTTTTTAACACTGTAGGCCTACAGATGAAGGATGGCAAATTGTGGATTTGGATCTTATCCGAGGAGTATAGTGTCTCTTTAATAACTGGAAATATTTGTTTATTGTTTTTTATGTTCATGATGCTGTGCTAAGCGGGGATGAAGAAAGCATGCCATTCCTGTCCCCACGGAGTTGTGGGTAGAGAGGCAAAATATAGATCCATAAAAAGTGAAATGACAAGATGAGAGATGTCAAATATAGAATTGAGAATGCAGATTCTAAGTGATAGGGGTTTCCAGGAAGGAAAGCTTAGTGGTGTGGTGGAAGCTAGTTTTAAAGAAGGGAGTACATGGCTTGAACTTGTAAAGTAGATGCTACTTTGGTAGGTGAAAGGAAAGTACAGGCTCTTCCTCCAAAGAAAACAGGGTAAAAAAAGACATGGAGGTGGAATACAAGTGGCATGGCCAGAGGGCAGTAAAAGGCCTGCCTGTAGAGTAGTCCCCCTCTTATCCACTGAGGGTATGTTCCAAGACCCCCAGTGGATGCCTGAAATCATGGATAGGACCTGCTGAACCCTATATATGCTGTTTTTCCCCCATTTTTACATACCTGTGATAAAGTGTAATTTAGAAATTGGGCACAGTAAGAGATTAATAACAACAACATCATAAAATAGAACAATGATAACAATATGTCATAATAAAAGTAATGTGAATGCAACCTCTCTGTGTATCTCAAACTGAAATAGAGAAAGTGAAACCACCGATCGCAAAACTCCCGATAAGAGGGGATTGCCGTACTTGAGAGTGAATGTTTGAAGCCAAACTAGAAGCCATTGAGAACCAAACTGATGCATTTGGATTCTCTCTTGTATGTAAAGGAGTATCACTCAAGGCCTTCGAGCCAAAAGTGATGTGAGGAAAGAGCTACCTTAGTCTCAGAGGCATGATAAGGAATACAGTGTGGAGATAGTAAGACAGGGTAGGAAGCGTTTGCAATAATCCAAACGTGTGGCAAGTGTCTGCAGAAGTTCATGGCACTAGATGTGAACTAAAGCAATAATTTCATGTTACTTAAGGAAAGTAGCATTGCTGTCGTTATGAATGTTCCCACGTATTCATTAGAGGAGTTTATATTGTTATGTTTTGGAATTATGCATCTGGTAGGTCCGAGGCAGTCTGTTGTTAGAAGCAGTAGGAGTGCCTTAATAATAATGGTAGTTTTGTAGCATGAGGCCTGAGCATTGTCCAGACTTCAGAAATGTGAACGCCGACATTCAGATCTGCTCATCTTTTCACATTTCTAGGATGCTGACAGACAGCACCAAGAAGTAATTGCAATTTATCGGACACACCTTCTTAGTGCTGCACAGGTAAAGAACTACTTCTCCTTTGGAAAGAATATTGCTTTAGAGATAATAATTTTTTATTTTCAAATAAATTTATGTGAAAGTAACTGATGTTTAAAGTAGCTGCACCCCATATCCTTACTTTAATTATGTTTCTTTTAATCATGGTTTGTGCATCTCCAGAAAAAATTTACAACGCTATATGGCAACACAACATCTTAAATTTAGTGCTGTCTCCATCTGCTTGTCACTCAGTTTATAGACAGTTTGGTAACATGTGCTGGCCGCACACGTTAATGGTGTTGCTAGCTGGAGTCGGTGCCTGGACATCCACACGTGACTGTCATCTAAAAGGAGAGTGGGAACGACTTTGAATTCTAGAAAAGCACAAAAGTGACAATCAGGGTGTTGTGTGTAGGATTGTAATAATCAAAGAAAAAGTGATCTCTTAAGAGAGAATTGATAATAGTTATTTACCAAGCCTTAATTTGGCTTGGTAAAGCCAAGGAATAATTAAGGAAGAATATTATGAACTGCCATTTTTAGGGGGGTACTGAGAAAGTTATGGTTAAAAAAACATACTAAGAAGTGATTAGCATAGAAAGGATACTATTCTTAATTTCCTGTAGAAACCCCATGAGCTGCATCTCCAAAATTCTCAGAATAGATTTTTCAGGAAGAAAATGTACTAAAAGAAACAAATTTTAGAGTGACAGGAGAGAGAGCATGGGAATTATTTGGATTTGAAGTGTGTTAGGCCAAACTGTAAAAACCAGCAAGCAAAAAAAAAACAAAGAAAAAACAAAAATAACAACCGAAAACAAAACCAAAGAAGGGAAAGATGGATGTTGAGAGAAAGCTTCAAAAAAAGATCAATTTTAAAAAGAGAACTAGATAAAATAATAAAAAGAAAGATACTTTATGAGTCAAATTCTTAAAATCAGTAGACCTGGCTTTTCTATAGGAGATGGAGGGGAAACTTAACTAATGAAAAAGAATGAATGATATGATAGAAGAAGGTATCTTAGCTACTCTCTTTTGAATAAATAAAAGATAAACCAGAATTTTAAAGTTGATTGCAATTATTAAGAGAAGACTATTGAGGGACAGTGAATAGGAACTTTAAGTGGGGGAAACAGTCATAGAAAATCTATATTAGACAGGCTGAGAAACTCACTGGTATTGGTTATGAGAGGAAGAGCCTGCTCTTAATGAAAAAATACAGCAAACTAACAAGCCTTTCCACTTTGCATACTATGTACTTCTGGAATTTGAAATTATTTTCTACTGCGTGCTAATGAAACATAACAAAAGCAGTTGGCATCAGAAATAGTCTTGCCTTCTGGCATCATAAAGTTAACTAAGATATTAAGTTTAGTCAACTATGGCTAATGTTTGAAATTTAAACACCCTGATGTTATAGAAACAGATTTTGGAAGCAAAACTTTTTATATTAATGGGAAGTGTTGTGCTGAAACCTCTTCAAGTATTCCAGGAAAGAAAAGGTGTGCATGTATGTGTGCGTGTGTGTGTGTGTGTGTGTGTGTGTGTGCGTGTGTTGGGAGGGGGTGCAATATTATAATAAGTCCACCACATTGACTTGCATTTAATCAACTTGTGCCACCATTTTAAGTTTAAAGTATTTTTAAAAAATATAAATAGCTAACATGCATGTAAAAAAGATACTTGGTTTCATCAGTAATGGTGGAGATGCAAATGAATAAGAACATACCATTTTTCACCTGCAGGACTGGCAGTATTACACAAGATTATAGTCGGTTGGGTTAGCCAGAGTGTATGGGAAATGGGCATTTTTACTCTGTTGATGGTAGTGCAGATAGTTATAATCTCCATAGAGGGAAATTTTGTAGTACTTAACAGAATTAAAAATTGAGATGGCTTTTTGATCCAGCAGTTTCATCTCTAGTAATATGTCCATTAAGACTGGAAATACCTTAAATGTCCATTATTAAGGGAATGGGTAAAGAAATGAAATTCACCCATACAGTGGATATTATGCAATAATTTAAAATAATTGAGTAGTTCAAAGGAAAGATTTCTGTGACACTAGGTAAGAAAACAAGATCTTACTTATGTAAAAACAAATATGGGTTTTTTAAATCAATTACTTTAATTTCAAGTTTTTTTTTAAGAGACAGAGTCTTGCTCTGTCATCCAGGCTGGAGTGCAGTGGCACAATCAGCTCACACAGTCTCAACACCTGGGCACAGGTCAGCTCACACAGCCTCAACTTCTGGGCTCAAGTGATTGTCCTCCCTCAACCTACCAAGTAGGTGGGACTACAGGCATATGCCACCACACCCGGCTAATTTCTTTTTTTTTAAGTTTTTGAGATGGAGTCTCAGTATATTGTCTAAGCTGGTCTTAAACTCCTGGCCTCAAGTGATCCTCCCGCCTTGGCCTCCCAAAGTGCAGGGATTGCAGGTGTAAGCCACTGTGCTCGGCCATCAATTAGTTTTCTAATTAAAAAAAAAAAAAAAAAAAGAAACTCAGCAGCAATAACAACAAATTTCCTTGTAGTTTACTTTGCTCATTTATAACTTATGCTACCCCTATCATCCAAGGGTGTTACTAAAAAGAGAAAGAGGGAGGATTGTCCATTTGTTTTCTGGTAATGGATGTTAGAGCAACTGGTGGGCACTACACTTTTTTTTTTTTTAAAGACAGAGCCTTGTCCTGTCACCCAGGCTGGAGTGCAGTGTCACAATCTCGGCTTACTGCAACATCCACCTCCCAGGTTCAAGTGATTCTCCCATCTCAGCCTCCCAAGTAGCTGGGATTACAGGCGTGTGCCTCCACACATGGCTAATTTTTTATTTTTAGTAGAGATGAGGGTTTTGCCATGTTGGCCATTCTGGTCTTGAATTCCTGACCTCAACTGATCCACCTGCCTCGGCCTCCTAAAGTCCTGGGATTGCAGGCATGAGCCACCACGCCCGGCCATGCACTACTTATTAGTTGATCATGATAGAGCTGTACTCCCTTTTCCAGTAATTCCTTTAGATATCACTACAGTGGTGAGGATTTAGCACGTGATGAATCAATGACTAGTTATGTTCTGTAAAAGCTTTGTCTTTAGAATTCTTATGTAAACAAAGATGTCATAAAATATCGCTTCTCTTCTTTCTCTGAAGGGTCACATGGATGAAGATGTTCAGGCGGCTCTGCTCCAGATCATACAAATGCGGCAGGGGCTTGTGTGCTAGCAGTTAGCACTTGCTGCCAGTATCTGTTTTATCTTGCTGGTGCTGAACATTCTTTGTACAACTCCATGGTCTTTCTGGGCCGTACTGTGCTGGTATAATTAAAATAAAATATATTTTGTTCCATCGGTAGGTTTTTTAAAAATTAGATAAATATGTTAGTCTTTTTCAGTATCATTTCAAATCTTATTTTCTCTGTGTGTTAATTTTACAAACAGGCAAACAACATAGCACTTTGCCCTGGATTGACTGCATGTTTTTAAACCTTTGAGTCCCTAATAAAATGTGAGCCATCTGAGTGAGTCCATATGAAGGGAGGTTAGGCTGAACTAATTGCTTAAAGATTTCTTTCAGAGAAATGAATTTGGTTGGTGGCCCCTTTTGGATCAAAAGACCTTTCAGAACCTCACAACTTGAGACATACTACAGTTGCAAGGAATGCATTGTAACTTGGCTGGCTAAGTTATGTCTTTATTGAGGTAACTTCATTAGTGTCTTTGGCCTTTTCTGGAGGTGTAGATATTTTTTCTTTTTGCACTAATAACTTTTATGCCTTTTAAAATAAATTGATTTTCATAAATGGTTTACAGTGCTAAATTACATTTAAATGAAGAACAGGCAGGGGTGGAATATATCAGGAATTTATAATAAAATTGCCTCATAATCTCTACAACAGTACCTTAATTTTTACTTGTGGTGACTATTCTTGCCACAGTATTAGTGAATAATGATAAATGATATACTAGATTTTTCAAAGTGTCAAAACCTTTAGACTTTCTTTTGCAATTAGTTTGACATTTGCTACTATAGTAACCAAGCACTTATTATATATGCATCCTCCAAATGTTTCTTGCCTATTTATAGGAAAGTTATACTAATGAGATTAATAATGTGAAATACAGTTTTCCTGCAAAATTACCATTAGAGAATTGATTTTAGATAACCGATTTTTAAAGTTTTAAAGAAAAGTACAATAATACAGTAAACTGAAAGACTATATAGATAGCAATAAAGTAACATAAGTGGACATGTTTATAGTAAATACTCTGAAGTAACTAACCATTTTTATTAACTACATCTCATTAGGGAAAGTTTATATGTCTTGTTATTTTTTTATTAACATTTTATTTACCATTCAGAGTGAAAATTACTAATTTGACTGTTAACAAATAACTGAGCAAATGAATCGTCGGAGTTGGGTTTTCTTAAATTGCAAAATTTGCCTTAGCAATAATCTTTGAACATCCTGAACCAGATTTTTTTCTTCCCTTTTTGTTCAATAGGGCAAAAGTACCATCAGAATGGCTTCTCATACCAAAGACTAAGCCATCATGTTTTTTCAGTGTTAAAACAACAGTGAAAGTCAGAATTGGATTTATTTTTAATTCTTTATACAGTTTACTTAAGCAGTATCTGTTTCTTTAATTTTTTTTTTTTTTTTTTTTTGTTTTTTTTGCTTTTTTGAGACGGAGTTTTGTTCGTGTTGTCCAGGCTTGAGTGCAATGGCACAATCTTGGCTCACCGTAACCTCTGCCTCCAGGTTCAAGCAATTCTCCTGCCTCAGCCTCTCGTGTAGCTGGGATTACAGGTGCCTGTCACCATGCCCAGCTAATTTTTGTATTTTTTGTAGAGATGGGGTTTCACTGTGTTGGCGAGGCTGGTCCCAAACTCCTGATCCTGTGACCCACCTGCCTCGGCCTCCCCAAGTGCTGGGATTACAGGTGTGAGCCACCACGCTCGGCCTAATTATTATGTTTAATGTTGTCCTTCAGCATGAGTTCTGTTTCACAAGTTTTAGGCCACCTATTTAAAAATATATATATATATATATATAAATTAAAAGAGTACCTGGGCGCGGTGGCGCATACCTGTAATCCCAGCACTTTGGGAGGCCAAGGTGGGTGGATCACCTGAGGTCAGGAGTTCGACAATATGGTGAAACCCCATCTCTGCTAAAACTACAAAAATCAGCCAGGCATGGTGGCAGTTGCCTGTAGTCCCAGCTACTTGGGAGGCTGAGACAGGAGAATCGCTTCAACCGGGAAGGCAGAGGTAGTGAGCCAAGATCGCGCCACTGTACCCCAGCTTGGGTTACAAAGTGAGACTCCATCTCAAAAAAAAAAAATTAAAAATAAAAATAAAGCTCTACAATAGAGCAAAGTTTTAAACTGAATATTCATATTCAGTGTTTTATTTTCCACATTAGAGATGGGAAGGGAACCTTACGTGTATTTTATTTTGTTTTCAACCATCAAAGTTTCTCTAGAATATTGTTTTGAACATCCTTGTAAAAGAATTGCAAGTTAAATTGGTTTATTTACTGTCTTTGGGACAACTGGGAGTAGGACACGATAGGCTCCAAAATACAAATGAGAATACCCATTTTCATTCAGCTATCTGGAGTAAAATTATCAAGTGCCTCCTTTAATTAATCATGTTGTCTTGTTCACTCACATTTTGATAGCAAAGGCATAAATTGCATTTATAACACTGAAGACTAAAGCTTTTAAATTAGTAAACAAATGGAACATAGATAATGGACAATGCTGGTCACTGCCATGCTGTGTTCAGAAAGACTGTGAGGCCTGAACATATGGCAACAGGAAAGAAGAGTGATGCTGTCTAAGATGTACTGAGTGCTCCCTGAGAGAATCACTGAATTCCTATTGGAGTGCAATCCTTTGTTGAAAGTTTTATTACTCTGGTTTTACATAGTTGTTATCATGTCACTTCCCCCTCAGAAAAGCATATTCCTTTTGATCGAGGGTCAGTGTTATAAATAATTGTCTATTAAAAGAAAATCAAATATCTATGCATTGAACATCTTAAATTTTAATATTATGATGAGTGTAATCACTTATCTATATGGGCATTGTTTTAGAATTCTGGATAAATTTAGCTTTGTCTTTTTTATGGCTTTTTAGAATCTTTTCTCTTGACCCTAGCCAAATTTTATGGTTTACAATTTTCTACTCTTTATAAATGCATTGGCTTGTTGCTGCTTTAAAAATCTTGTAGCTTTAGAATATGAGCATCTTTTTCTCCAATGTTACCAGCTTTCCTCTGACAAGGACCTGAAAACTATTCCCACACATGTGCTTATTAACCTACCTGAATGTTCAGGTCTTTGACTTGTTTCAAAGTCAAACAGGGAAGAGTTTCAAATTAACTTTTGGTGTTCATGGTGACTAGAGACATCAGTGCCTGCTTACAGCAGTGCCAGACCTTAGCAGTGGTTATAAGCTTCTTTTGACATCTGCTTCACCGTGGTAGAAGACAGTTACTTCTTATTCTCTGTTTTCCTCATCACTGGATTCTGCAACCTAGTGATCTTTTTTCTTCTTGTTGGTTCTGTGCACCAAAGTAATGGTAGCACCTCTGGTACCATAATACGTGTTCAAAGAGAATTGCCTGTGATGAACATGGAAGATGTGGCTGACCTAGATCTTACCCCTGACCCCTAAGTTTTATGAATACTTTCAGAGGGAGGAAAAAAAGCACTAGATGAATAAAGGCAGGATTTGCACCATACAGCAGATTGTGCACAAAATACAAAATGAAAATTAGTATAGGCATTTCAGCTGTCATTTCATTCAGTGTTGTTCCCAGCTAAACTGGAAACTGGACCTCAGACTGTTGCTGGAAATTCAGTTCATTCCCATGTTTTGGTCTTAGCCATTTGAAGCAGGACTATTTAGACCAGCCTCTCCAGGTAAAGATTAACCTGATTCTTAGCATAATTTCTGATTATTACTGAACATATTGACCTTTGGGCTCAAGTGAGTAATGAATGTACAAATTTTTTTTTTTTTTTTAAAGATCACGCTGTATCGGAGATTGGCATTCCAACAAGGCTCCTTAGGCAATGAGGGTACTTGGGTTCAGTGTAATTGGGCATGTGACATCACTTATATATTAGAGGCATTTTCATTATTTATGCCTGCGTGAACAAACATCGATGATGAATGAATTCAACCAAAAAGAGAAGGTTACAAAAATGTCATATGTAAATGAAAAAGAGCAGGACTTGTGAGGGTTGCTTCTCTAGTTCATATATATATATATATATATATATAAAACTGAGTCTAATTTATATGTATATATAAAATATTCCATTCAGTAAAAAATAGAAAAGACATCAGTAAAAACAGTGCCCCCTGTAATTGATATTTGATATAAAATTGTACTTAATTGACTTGATTTTTTTTTTCTTTTTTTTTTGAGAAGGACTTTCACTCTTGTTTCCCAGGCTAGAGTGGTGTGACCTTGGCTCACCACAACCTCCCACTCCTGGCTTCAAGTGATTCCCCTGCCTCAGCCTCCCAAGCAGCTGGGATTACAGGCATGTACCACCATGCCTGGCTACTTTTGTATTTTTAGTAGAAATGGGGTTTCACTATGTTGGTCACGTTGGTCTTGAACTCCTGACCTCAGGTGATCCAACCACTTTAGCCTCCCGAAGTGCTGGGATGACAAGCGTGAGCCACCACGCCCAGCCTGATTTTTATAGCAAGCTGGCAGTTTTTTTCAAGATAGCAGTCCTGGGAATATTCTGAATTCTGAAAAGAGTTTAGAGAGGTTATTGCCTTCTTAATAATTTAGAGCGTCTATTGCTCTGCCAAGTCAGAAGATTAACATTTAATAGAAAAAAAATTATATATCTATAATTCAGTCACAGCTATTAGATCAGATGGATTTTACATTAAGTGAAAAAGATGTTGAGCATTTAAGGACCATTAAACTACAAGACTCTTTTATTGGGTTTTAAGGCCTCCAAGCCAGGGTCCTGCTGCGAAGAGTATTTATTTTACACATACAGAACCCATTAAGGATGGGAAAGGGGCACACATTTTAAAAGAAAATAGGCCATGAAAAAGTGTGATTTTCCACATTGTGAACAGCTACCATACAGATTCAGTCTTATTTTATAATAATTAGTTTTACGCATCATTAAGTAGCTTTCTTACCAGCTAGAAGAATATGTTGAAGGCCACTTTAAAAGTGGTACCTGCAGGAAATCCAAGTAGCTACATGTCCTTTGTTGATATTTCACTTTGAGAAACCGCATTTCTAGTAGTTTTCAGGATCCTTAAGGTTGCTATATATTGTCAGGAATTTAAGTTTGGA